TTTCCAGACTTCTTTCTTTTCTAAACAGATATTTTATTCACTATAAATTATAAATGAATGGGAGAATGTCAGACCCCTATCACATGAAGAATTGACATCAAACAATCAGGAATACAACCACATTATGACTCCTCTTTTTTATATAACAATATGTCATTCATTCACTAAGTTAATTTAAGTATATATGTGAATGTAATAATTTGCCAAAGATATTAATTAATACAATATAATACCATCATTAATTTCAAGAGAAAAAATTCTACAAAAGTGTTACACTATGAATGTAAGCACATTGAAGGTAAATTACCTATACAAGTAACCACATCGGTATGGTCTATATTATAGTGAGAAACATTTTAAGTGTTCAAATGAATTGAGAAAGTGCGACCTGCCTCGACGAATGGCGTCAAGAGTTAAATGTAATAAAAACCACCAATAAAAAGGGCGACAATATAGATAAGACAATGCCAAAAGGTTAATAAACTATCAATTAAAGAACTAATTGGAATAATTCAGCAATGTGATTGCACAATATATAATATGTAATATATAATATGTAATACAAATGGTGTATGTGAGGATGAGTCAGGGCCATGCTTTGTGGTCAAAAAGACCAAAAAAATATTCTGGTTCTCAAAAATGGGCAGCGTCACATGTATTTATTATTAAAAAATAAAAACAAAGTTAATGATTTCCCCCCTGGTGAAGGGAAGAGACCCTTGATAAGAGGAACTGAACACTAGACGTGGCGATCGCTATTGACAATCACGACATGCACTGGATAATCCATTGTTAATTTTTTATTCTGCAATGATGGCAACAATTTTGCTGTCAATCTGTCCTTTTTTACGATCAAAATGCCTTATCTTTCCTGAGAACTATGATGACTGTGAGAGAGATGACCGAAAGTATTGTTCGAGGGCACAAACTTAGATTTACATCGCCAGCAAACTCCATGATTTAACAATGAGTATGGTATTGATACCACATAGAATATAGTCGCCAAAACATTTTCCGTACGAGTTAATCTAGATGTCCTGAAATAATTCAGCGTTATTTCAAAACCGTACCTATTTTTTGTTTTATTATTAATAGTTAAATAAATATTGAATTTATAATAATTCTGTGTTTCTTAAAAATGAAAAAGAGAGAGAGAGAGAGAGAAATGGGGTTTAACGTCCACTCGACACATTTCGGGATTAACATATGGTTTAATTTTTTATTTCAATAACTCGCTTGCGCGTAGGGGTCTGTGGTAGGAAACCGGAGGACCCGGAGAAAACCCGGCCCTACTCCTTGTCACGTACAACCGGGGATTCGAAACCATGCCAGTTGACTCAATGACAGGCTTTATGCTACAGCGCGCACATGCTAACCATTAGGCCATCCAACCCTCCCCTCCTAAAAATGAAAAACTAGCTAAATTTTGACAAAAATCAAAAAAATAACAAAGGACGCCCTCCTGCATCAATTTTTTTTATCTGCGGTTGCAAGGCAAGATACGCCCACATTTTGCAATGGATAGATAGAAAACAAGCTAAAAAAAAAAAAAAAGCAATTTTTCATACAATCAGTGTTCATTATCCAGGAAGTTATGGCCTGAAATGCGCGAATATCAAACGGGACTGCAATCTTTGGGATATAAAGATATGTTTTAAGACTGAGATATTTGGGATACAAAAAACTGTGACTTCTAGAGAGTCCACCTTGGTATTACATACTTTTATACTATTTGCGTACAAGGAGCGGCCATTTTGTCAGGCAGTTTCAGTCCAATTTTCAAACTCAACCATCATTAGGGTGTAATGTGGATACATTTAAACGCTTTTTAAAATTGAATAAAAATTGTGACCTCTAGAGGGTCCACAAACTAAAAAATGTGATTTTTCGTACAATCAGGGGCCAGAATCCAGGAAGTTACCGTCTGATGTGCAGGAATATTGAAAGGAACCAAGATCTTTGGATAATAATCAAACAATTCAAGTTTCATCAAAATCGGGTGAAAAGTATGAACTCTAGAGTGTCCACAAGTCAAAAACGTGATTTTTCGTACAAACAGGGGCCATAATCCATGAAGTTTCGAAGATATTTTGGAGATAAACCTATATTTCAGGGATTTTGCACACATCAGCTGTACTTTGAGTATTATAACAAGTTAATTTGTCACAGTCTTAAATATGAAATAAATGGTATACCTACCTCTTTATTTAAGTATAATTTGGTATCATCTAGAGTATTGTATAGAGTATAAAACTGTTTTGTTTCTGTATGTTTCGAGGCAACTGTAATATATATAATACATCAGGTTTCAAGTTGGTGGTATGAGTGAAAGGTTTTTAAAGATTATAAGTCAGTGGTTAGAGTGGAAGGTTTACAATTCCTTATATTGTTACTTACTTTGATTATAAAGTTCGACAAATCTTCGTTGATATTGACTAAGTTCAGCTCTTGACGGTACTTCATCTATCTTTCTCTGTAATCCTGCTATCTCTCGATTTTTACGAGCCTAAAGATATTAAAATTATAATTTATATTTTATGTGACATATCCATGTCATTTCTTTGATTTAAGATTTCGGTCAAAATTAAAAATATTAAATTGGGTTGATGTCTGTTAGTGATGGGAAAATTAGTCAATTAAAATTGTGTTTTGAAAGTTGAAGCAGAAATCGGTCTGTTTACCAATTTAGTTTAATTAATTATGTTTGACAGTGTTGACAGTGGAATATAAAAATGGTAATTACATCTCAAAATTTGTTTAATCTATTGACGTAAAAATCTTAACGAATATAGATGGTCATTCCTCAAAATATTTAACATATAAAGACTGATGAAATCGAGAATACCAACAGTCTTGGGATATTGTATATAAGGATTCCAACAATCTAGGGTTAATTTATTGGGGTTTTATTTCACACTTTACTCCACAAACTAACGGATAGTCAAGGGTTCGTTTACTTGACGACCTTACCAACAGTATAAAGTTCGTTTTAGTGATGGTCCGATAATTGGTTTCAACATCAGTAATTGGCTGATAACCAATCAGTAGAAATCGGTACTGGAGTCGCCGATATTTGTTCAAAAAGAACTCGGTAAATAACTCTAAAATATCATTCGAGTTTCGAACGATTAAATCATTATTTTGCTTGACACTCGGTACTTTTTTTTTAGTTGCCGTGTGCGTGACTATTTAGACATAATACAAGACTCTCATAGAGGCTGTAAAAGGAAATAATAAACAGTGCAAAATCCTTACTTGATCTACAATCTGGTTAAAACACAGATCCTATTTCATTTCGTTTTTATAGTTTAAAATTTCGTTTTACTTTACTACACTAGGATCTGGAAGGGTTGTTATATTACCGGCGGTTTGGTTGAAGTGAGGGATAAACCAATGAAACGGTCTGTTACGACGACTTCTTGGCATGCCATGCACAGAACTGTGGGTAAACCACTAGAAACGCCAACGCTGATTGATTAACCAATGTCTGACGTCACAGGGTCAAAAGCCACTTGTACAACCCCTGACACGACCTTCGAGTACACCTTGTCGGATCTTCATGTAGTGTAGGCCATCGAAAGTATAAAAAACGAAACGAAACGAAACGAAACGAAACGAAATATAGATCTGTATTTTAATCAGATTGACTGATCTATGCTATTTTTTAAATCCTTATTCACACATTCTTTCAGCATTCAGGTTTCTCAATGCGTTTTTTTTTTATAAAAATACCATTTATGTGCATGTACAAACAGACATAAACATACAACAGTCCACTCGAAAAAAACCCATCTGATTGGAATATGGAATAAGCCCATTGCATGATGATCAAAATCATAGAATTGGAGAACACAGCTGTATGTTGCGGAGGCCTCTCTTTGATCCCAATATCAATGTATGTTGGTATCGTGTACTTAAACAATGGTCCTTGTTTGATCACTGTCGCTGATGTAAAATAGTTCCAAATCTAACATTTATTATAGACATACAGGTGCCGACCTAGTTGTGGAATTATATCGTAGTCAACATTTAATAACTCATAATCTCAACTCAAATAATTTTAGTTAACAATAGATAGTGTGTATTTTAGTTTACAGTAGATGGTGTGTATTTTAGTTCACATTAGATGGTGTGTATTTTAGTTCACATTAGATGGTGTGTATTTTAGTTTACAGTAGATGGTGTGTATTTTAGTTCACATTAGATGGTGTGTATTTTAGTTTACAGTAGATGGTGTGTATTTTAGTTCACATTAGATGGTGTGTATTTTAGTTCACATTAGATGGTGTGTATTTTAGTTTACAGTAGATGGTGTGTATTTTAGTTCACATTAGATGGTGTGTATTTTAGTTTACATTAGATGGTGTGTATTTTAGTTCACATTAGATGGTGTGTATTTTAGTTTACATTAGATGGTGTGTATTTTAGTTTACAATAGATGGTGTGTATTTTTGACAGCGGAGGAAGTGTGACCCAATTATTTTTTTCCTTCAAAAAAAACATCGCGTTCTGATTTGAATCCCAAGGTAAAATAGTACCAGACGTTTCCCGACTATCCCTGACTATATCTCAGGTTTTTATTCAATGATTACTCACCAATAAAAGTCGTATTTTATGAAGTTTATCTTTATCAGCCTGATATTGTTTATCAATAATTCCAACTCGTTCCTCATCTTCCAAATCTACATCAGCACCATCTTCCTTTAGTTTATCTATATTCTCTTTCAGTCGAGCCATTTCCTCCTAAAATAATATTAATATCGATATCATGTCCATTTCCTCCTAAAATAATATTAATATCGATATCATGTCCATTTCCTCCTAAAATAATATTAATATCGATATCATGTCCATTTCCTCCTAAAATAATATTAATATCGATATCATGTCCATTTCCTCCTAAAATAATATTAATATCGATATCATGTCCATTTCCTCCTAAAATAATATTAATATCGATATCATGTCCATTTCCTCCTAAAATAATATTAATATCGATATCATGTCCATTTCCTCCTAAAATAATATAAATAATCTTTAATATGGATATGATGTACAGCTCAGTCCTGTTAAAATACAATTGACAATAATTCCATGTACAATACAGACAGAACTACTAGCATGGTACCTGTAGAATGAGCTTACCTTACAATGAACTACTAGCATGGTACCTGTAGAATCAGCTTACCTTACAATGAGCTTTAAATTCCTGTTCTTGTTTCTTTAGATTTTCATTCATAGCTACCAATGATCTTAATGTCTGTAGAATACTGAAAACAAACAAAGAAATATTTCAGAAAAATAATAATGCCCTTTTGGTAATTTCTATTATGTGATTCTGTAGTTTGAAAATAATACAACTGACACGCCTAAAAATCCATTCACTTGATTTGATATTTCCTAACTTATTGTCTGTGTTGTCCATGTATATGTCTGACTAATTGCTTCCAATCCGTTGTACCGGAAAATAACTTTATAGAAACTGACTGTTGTTAATTTACTTTTTACATCAAATTTTGTTCAAACTAATATACCGTAGTAATAAGTGTAGAGGGACCACACTACACGTAAAACTAAACGGACAAGACCAACCTGTGGACAAGACAAACCTGTGGACAAGACAAACCTGTGGACAGGACAAACTACAGACATTGTAAGAGATAAAAAATATCCAATAAAGCCAATCTACCTTTGGTTTTCTTCAGTCTCCATTTCTTCAATTTTTTTCATTTCTCCATCAATAATGGCTCCCTTTTCTTGTGCCTTTTAAAACAAAACAATTCAAAATCAATTTAGAAATAAAAACTTAAATTTAAACTATTTTAACTTTCTATAAAATAAAACCTGCTCTTGGTCTTTTTCTCTCTACTTCAAATAGCAGGGACAGTTTAAAATATAACTACACTTACCTTCTCTTCTACAATCACCTTCGCTTGTCAACAGACACTAAGCTAGTTCACCGACAATTTTAGTTAAAGACACTAGGTATAATTTGTGAATTTTAAGAAGTATTTATTTTGCATCTCGAAGTATATAGATCTGTGTATGAAGAATGATACAATTAAATTAGCTCAGTGATCGTAATTATCACAAGGTTTACTAGTAAAATAACCTTATCCTGCATAGTCTGACATATTACTATTAAAACCAGGCCATAAGTTCACAAAACATTCTCAGACTTAAGTTAAGAATTTACCCAACTTTCAATCACTGTTTATGAGAAATATTTTAGATCCAGAAACACAAAGCTTTGTACATAGTTTCTTATTGATGTATCTGATACGTAAAAACAACAAAAGTTTGATAAGGGGCTATATTTTAGTTAAAATAAATCTGAGAATGCTTTGTGAACTCTGGGCCTAGTTTATTTCTCACCTCAGCAAGTTTAGCCTGTGTATCAGTGTAGGCTTTCTGTAGCTCGGAATGTTTCGCCATTACCTGAAAATAACAAAATATTCTGTAAACTACAGGTATATATATTTAACTTGATTATCTTTGACACAGTGCTTAACATAAATATTCTTGACAGCAGACACAGTGCTTAACATAAGTATACTTGACAACACAAACAGCAGCTCCACCAACGAGTACGTAAATGAAATGGGGGTTTAACGACCTGGCTAATGAAGACGGGCATAAGTCATATAGTGTACTATGAGTGAAATTTTGCTCGGACAGTTGCAGTACGGCCTACACTCTTATGTTTTGAATTCCAAATGTCAAGGTTTTTTTATGTGCACGCCCATGTGTACATGACACATCGAAATGGCTAGATGCTGTACCTCCGTCAACCCAGGCAACTGGGGACATTCTGTTGTCAACCCAGGCAACTGGGGACATTCTGTTGTCAACCCAGGCAACTGGGGACATTCTGTTGTCAACCCAGTCAACTGGGGACATTCTGGGAGACTGGTTGTATGAATAACTATAACATACCTCTGTTAATCTTGATGTCTGTTGGTCGATTTGTTTACGTAATGCTGTGGTCACACGTTTATGTTGTTGAGCTCCACCCACTCGTTCGCTCTTCTCAATCTGTTCAATCTCTGCTTGCTTATAATAAAAATAACAGCTGGATACACTCAACTACATGTGCTTCCATTTTTACTTCAATAATTCGCTTGCCATATACAATGTACTACGAGGGATCTTTGACATGCATGCCAGTGTGTACACAGGACCTCACTTTTTCGTCCTGTTTGTTCGACTATACATTGTCCCTTGCCATGCCCTCTGTCCTGCACCACTGATAAGAAAGAACGATGAACTTTCTCTGCTAATGCAGCGATCAAACACAGGATCTGCAGGTTAGCGATCAAACGTCCTACTCATCGAGCCACCTCATCGAGCCACCTTCACTCCCGTTAATGTAACAATTCAAGGAGTTACGTAGTGTTATTTATATAGGCTACAAGATTCACTGCAGTTATTGTATTATAGGCTTTCATGTCCTGTTTATCACAAATTGTTACAAGGTTAAATAGATGACATATTATCTTGGCAGTAAAAAATATTTTTATTACAGAATATTTTAAAAATTTTAATAAACAAACCAATTTCCAACTTTATTCATCCAAAAATTTACGATAATTTTCCATGCCTTATGAATAAGTAGGTTGAGGTTGAAACAAACATGCCAATATTTGACAAAGCAAGAAATAAAAACAAAAGCAAAAATAAGAGAAATAAACAAACTCACTTTTTCCGCGTATTCTGAAGCAATCTGTTGTATTTCAGCTGACTGCATGCCTACTATGGAACCTACAGCACTAGCTGATAACTTGCCCTAATAGATAGTACCACAATAAACACACAATATACATGCACAGTTAGTCACATACCACATAGCAAGTAGCTCATTTATCAAGTACACAAAGTAAGGACTGTCTTGACAACGAGAATACTACTAGAAATATTACAGCACAACATTTTACAAAATTTCAATAGTCTACGAAAACAATTGTTTATTTTACATAACCTACTACCAGCTGGGTAACCTCAATTATTTAGTCAAACGTTCAAAATATTCATTATTTTTACAGTTTTGTCTAGCACTTGAAATTCCTACCAGGGTAATGTTAAAATAATTTTAATTCTTATAAACGGTTTTCACTTTCTTTTAAAGTGAGAGGAAATTATAGGGTGTTAATAACACACAGATATATCACTTAAATCAAATTGAAAGTAAACATACAATATTCTGGAATTGTTTTCCAAAGTCATCATTAAATCATGAAACAGGAAATACTATTCAAGCCAATTCTCATGAAATGTGATATGTATGTAGATTATCTATTATTAAAATCTATTATTCATAATCTAAAAGAGAATCAAAATTCAAAATATGTTTTGCCGTTTTTATTGTAACCAACTGATTGACCTGAAACTAATACAAGATGTTAAGCGTTATTAGTATTTTTAGCACTATCAAAATACATGCAATTATTTTTTATTTTGTGTAATATATGTTTAACAACTTTCAACTTTATTTTAAAGTTTTTACAAATAAGGTTCCTGGGACTAGGACATGGAACATATTAGTTTCTTCTTTGTGAGATCATTGCTGAATTTTTACAGAGTTTTCATGCTACATTTATTTTACCCTGCACTTTCCTATCTTATTACATGCGTCTCTACATACTTTTTTTTCTAGAGGACTTACCATGTGACAATCAAGACTATGCTAAAATACTAATCAATCTAGTCTATACTCACTTCCTGTATTCCTGTAGCAGACATTCCACTCATCAACATTTTGATACGTTTCTACAAAATAAAACATGATTTATCTGGTAACATCTGTCATATCTGGGGTACAAGAGTACAATAAACATTGTTAGTTAACCATGTGAAGTGGTATCACATGTTCAACATACCTCCTCCTCCGCCTGAAGATCTTCCTCTGTGTCTACTTCTTTCCCACCTAAACTAGCAGCCACAGCTTTCTTCTTAGCAGACGCTTCATTCTCTTTCTCATCCTTTGATGTTTTACTAAAACCATATCTCCTGCAACATTTCATACGTAAAATATTCAACAGATTTCTGCACGGATCCAGATAATGAAGAAGGGCATGTATCCAGCATACTGGGTGCTTTGAAGAAAATTTTGCCTGGTTAGCCTACACTTTTTTCAAATTATTTAAAATTCTGTCAAGAATTCTTTTATGTGCACGACAATGTGTAGAAGGGACCTCATTGTTTTCATGACCATAGGCGTACGGCTCGATGACAGTTAGGGAGCCAGAACCCGAAATGATCGAAAAAATTTCAGGGTACATACAGTGGCGCAGTCTTCTGTGAGAACGGAGGAGCGGATTCCCCACCCCCACCCCCCGAAAATTTTGGAAAAATTGATGGCAACAAACACATTTTCCTGCTAAACATACATTATGCAAGAGCTAAATCTGCCAATTGCAGGTCTTTCTTAGGCCTGAACTGTTATATAAATTATTAATTAGACATTAATTAACTTATCCAGACCATAATCAACTCTCGATGGAATTGCTAGCCTGTGATATTTACTGGATTAGAACCCAGTTTGCTGCTTCTGATTAAATCAAAAAAATGGATAACCGAGACTAAGTTTTTTTATCGTATCGACTTTAGTAATGATGATCGAGGCTAGGCTCAAAATTCAATTACTAAATACTTGGTTCAGGGTGGATCAATTTGACTGAAGTTTTTTTAGAAAATTGCCTTTACATTATCTATTTTTTAACTATTATAGCGAGAACTGCCAACTCTTTATCTAATCTCCCATAATGTATCTTGTAAGTGATGTAATATAGCCTTATGTATCTTTAAGTGATGTAATGTAAGTGATCTAATATAGCCTAATGAAGATGACGGACTTGAATTTCAATCAACGAAATAATCGTTTATAGTCCACAGTGACGGGACAGTTGGAAGAAAATTTTGAAAATTTAACTGCCGGAAAACATGTTTTCTTTTTATTTCAGCTTGTAAATACAGCAACTCCACTGTGGTCCAATATACATATCATACCTTTGGTCACCAAACAACTGTCTTGGGGTATGGGGGACTTGCCACCGAGGACAAAATTTTGAAAATTTAACTACCGCAAATGCATTTTTCTGCTAATCTAGCCCACGAGTTAAACAGTTCCAAAATTGTCCAATGGTTTTGTAACCGAAATCCCACTCTATGCCGACCTGAAATCCAACCATCCAATCGAACTGTTGCAGCTGCATTCACAAATAATAATCAATACCCGAAAAATGTGGCACAAAGTAGAGTAGCTCCAGACAGAATGTTTTAATCCATAGTCAATTCAGTACAAATTTGTGGTATTCAATTAAAAGAAAAGTAAAATTAGTGTTTTATAAGATTTTGGACACTTTCTTTTGCCAATTACATGTAATAATATTTTCTTTTTTCACTTTACCCGTCTGCCTGAAAAGTCAGATTACCCGAAAGTTAGGGGAGCACCTGCCCGCACCCCCTATGCCCGCCTGGCTCGTACACCTATGTTCATCACATCTGACGGACTAGACACTGTCCTTGCTCATCCTCGGTATTCCCAGTGGTTTCATTCCGTTTTACTCCACTAAACCCCTCGGTTAATCTATGAGGGAGACACGTTTTACTCCACTAAACCCCTGGGTTAATCTATGAGGGAGACACGTTTTACTCCACTAAACCCCTCGGTTAATCTATGAGGGAGACACGTTTTACTCCACTAAACCCCTGGGTTAATCTATGAGGGAGACACGTTTTACTCCACTAAACCCCTGGGTTAATCTATGAGGGAGACACGTTTTCAATTTATTCGTCCTTGATGATTGTGCTAGTTTTATCGACCAATCCCATACATCGTTAATTGAAAAGGAAGTTGGCAAAGGGAAGTAACTCTCATCGGACAAGTTTAGGTGTTAGCCTAAATGAGAGGAGTTCAAATTATTCTAAATGTGTACTTACTTACTAACAACAAATTATATAATATTTAATTAATGAAGACTGGACCAAATTGCCAAGTATAAGTTCAATAATAATAAACATAACAGAATGAAACATTTCAGATAAAGAACGAATAGTAATAATAATAACAAAAATCAAATATATAGACGTTATCAGCGAAACATACTACATATTTTGATAATGCAATTAATTATAAATGAATTAGAAATATATACATTATTTACATAAATCATTCAGTAAATGGACATGAATTTGGTTACTTACCCTTTTAAAATCGAAGACGAAACGACTGATTTGTAAACAGTTTCTTGATTGGTTCGTAGTCCTTAGCTACAATCAAGGCCAGGGCAGATAATTTGAAATCGTGGAAACCCTATGGATTAACCCAGGGTATAGTGGAGTAGAACGGACTGAAAACACTGGGGATATCGCGGATTGTCCTTGTTAGGCACTCACGTCCTACACTAATGACATGGTTAAACCACGCCGGAAAATCACAAGGAAATCTGATTTATAGTAAACTGGACAGTTTAAAGATACACTCCCACGAAAATATTTCCAACAAAAGTATGGCAAATATAGTAGAAACAGCCAATCTTACTAGACACATCCAAAATAATAGATTCCAGTATGAGTGCACTGGACAGACCGAATAGGGAGTGCTTGGTTTGGCTAGAGATTGTGAGAACTGTCAGAGACTTAACTGTATTGCAGACTTTGTGATTAACTGGCAGAGAATAATCCAAGAATTTACATAGGCTTCAATATTTATGGTAAATGGACAGCCAGACCCAGTTATGACAAATACAAGCTAAAAATGGACCCTCGGCCAAATCAAGTCATGTGACAAACAAATCAAGGCTTGACAGAATGTTAGCCATTAAAATATTTTAAGTGAGATTTGAAGCAAACTTTTGATGGATAAATTAGTTTGAATATGTATTAAAGTCATCAACAGATGTTCAAGCATGCCCAGTTTCATGTTGATGATGGTACAATAATTAAAGAACAAGACTTACCTTCCATATTCTAACAATGTGGAATGGACCTGGGTCTCCTCATCTTCCATTCTTTTTGATGCATTTCGTCGAAATCTTCTCTGGGGTTTGTAAGCATTCTATTAAAATATGCAAAATTTAATTCATCCATGAATAGAGATACGTTCTTATAATTCAACATACATGTATTTCAGTCTCTGCTGTTTTTAAAGCGATAATTTCATATTTTCTAAGAAAGTCAAAACATAATTATTTCTATGTCTTTTGCTCAATAGGTTGTCAACTCACTATTATACGATTATAGGAATCATTCTCATACTTAAAAATCATTGACCCCGGAAATAATAACACAATTACCTCCCTTGTTTTCCTATTCCCCATCATGGAATAGCGATCTTCAAACGTTTGAATTTTAAAATAAAAATGATATTTTTGCCAATTTCTCAACTGGCAATAGTGAATTATAGGATTAATTGGATTATTCTTTAACAAGGTAGGACTGTTTGTAGATACCATCTATTTTAAGGCTTTATTTTAATAAATTTTAAAAATATAACTTAAAAATATGAAATTGCAACTTTAAAACCTCAAACCATTTTTAGGAACATAAAACCCAACCAATATTCCAGCATTCTTACCACACCAGACCAATTTCAAGCCTTTTCGTGAAAACAACCCATATTCAAGTTTTTTCAAGCAACCCATTTTCAAGCCTTTCCAAGAAACTAAATTAACACATTTTCAAGCCTTTTCACAAAACCAAACCAATTTCATGCCTTTTCAAGAAACCAACCTATTTTCAAGCCTTTTCAAGAAACCAACCTATTTTCAAGCCTTTTCAAGAAACCAACCTATTTTCAAGCCTCAAGAAACCAACCTATTTTCAAGCCTTTTCAAGAAACCAACCTATTTTCAAGCCTTTTCAAGAAACCAACCTATTTTCAAGCCTTTTCAAGAAACCAACCTATTTTCAAGCCTTTTCAAGAAACCAACCTATTTTCAAGCCTTTTCAAGAAACCAACCAATTTTCAAGCCTTTGATTTACACTCTCATTTTCAAGATTTTCTCAAAAACTCATATTCAAGCTTTTCCAAACATTATTATTTAAGCCTTTTCAAGGAACCAGTGCATTTTCAAGTAATTCAAATTTCTGTGCCATCCTGTATTTTTGGCTGGGGCCATAGCATTGTCAATGTAATTAATTACATTAGGCCCTACCTTTACGGTACGACAACTATTTTCTCATTTTTACCAATGTAATTCATTACCATTACCCATTATTTTAACCGGACTACATAAATAAATCGGATAAAAATTGTGACCTCTAGAGGTTTCACAACCTTCGTATTACATACTTTTACACAATTTGCGTTCAAAGAGCGGCCATTTTGTCAGGCAGTTTCATTTCGATTTTTCCCTAAATTCGAATTCAACCTTCATTATGGTGGAATGGTGATATATTTAAACTGTTTTTAAAATCGGATAAAACATTGTGACCTTTAGAGAATCCACAGGCTAAAAATGTGATTTTTTGAACAATCAGAGGCCATAATCCATGTTACATTCGGATATGCATGATTACCAAAAGGAACCAAGATCTTTGTGATATAAACATAAATTTAAAGTTTCATCAAAATCGGATACAAATTGTGGCCTCTAGAGGGTCCACAACTTTGATATACCAGATGTTTACACTATTTGCGTACGAGGGGCGGCCATTTTGTCTGGCAATTTTGGTCTGATTTTCATGAAACTCAACCTCAGACAAAATTACGATGTAACGGTGATATATTCAAACTTTTTTTTAAATTGGATAATAATTGTGACCTCTAGAGGGACCACAAACTAAAAACTTGATTTTTTGTACAATCAGGGGCCATAATTCAGGAAGTTATGGTCTGATATGCACGAATATCGAAAGGAACCGAGAACAGTGGGTGGCAGTATAAAAATTGTGACTTCTAGAGGGTTCACAACCTTGATGTACCATGTTTTTTCGCTATTTGAGAACAAGGGGCGGCCATTTTGTCTGTCAGTTTTAAGTCGATTTTCACGAATTTGAACTCAACCATCCTTAGGGTGTAACGGTGATATATTAAAACGTTTTTTTAATTCGGATAAAAATTATCACCTCTATAGGGTCCACAAGCTAAAAACGCTATTTTTCGTACAATCAAGGGCCATAATTCAGGAAGTTACAGTCCGATATGCACGAATATCGACAGGAACCAAGATCTTTGGGTTATAAACTTATATTTCAAGTTTCAACAAAATCGGATAAAAATGCTGACCTCTATAGGGTCCACAAGCTAAAAACGTGATTTTTTGTACAATCAGGGGTCATAATCCATGAAGTTACAGTCCGATACATGCCAATATCGAAAGGAACCGAGATCTTAGGGTGATAAAGCTATATTTCAAGTTTCATTGAAATCGGATAAAAATTGTGACCTGTAGAGTGTCCACAAACAATTGTGGATGGACGGACGGGCGGACAGGGGCGACGACAATATATGTCCACATGAAAATGTGGGCGTATAAAAACCCTTACCTTAGCTGTTGTCACAGCATCGATAGATTTCTCTTTAGATTCTATAAACAACTCATCCTGAAATAATATAATATATTAATACCTGTACTATACACAACACTATGGTCTGTGATTCAACAACATTTCAATGAGATTCACAATGAAAAGCCCCAGATTTATAAAATCAATATTTATGTTAAGTAATTTGACCTTGATATCAGATATATAATAAAATATGTAGACGACAGACAACTGATGAAAACATGTACTTTAGACCATGACAGATCTAATCATCTATACACATCATCACAGACACAATTAAAGTAAATCATTTTTCAGCCAATGTTTAATTTTTCACGGCTTATTATTCAACCTTTAAAAATAAAATAAAAACATCAACGGTAGACAATCTCTCGGCTTGGATTCAACCGCATTAAAAACAGGCTCGGGAAATGATTTTAGCAAAAATTTGTAAGTGGCACTAGATAGTTATATGGCCTCCAGCAGATGTTGAATGCTGACAAATTGTTAATTCATAATATCTTTGTTAATACCCAACAGAATTCAACTATTTATTGGATATTCAACTTTTACAATATTATACTTGCCAGGTCTGTCAATGAGTCAAAGTGGTTTTCATTCCCCGCTAGTATTTGACATGGAGAAGGTTTTCTCTGGGTCCTTCGGTTTCCTACATCAGCTAATAAAAACCCCTACACACAAGCGAATTATTGAAATAAAATTAAACCTTATGTTAGTCCCGAAATGACCCTCTCACATCAGGGTTCTCCTATTAGTTATGTACTACCTCAAGATAAATGAGGGATGATGTAGAAAATTGGTATATTCCTTTGAAAAAGTATCTTTGTAAACTGGAGTAGTTAAATTGACCAAACTAGGCCATTATATTTCAATAATTTGCTTCCACATGGGAAGAAACAGGAGGACACGGGAAAATATCCACATGGTTGGACCATGGTGGGACAGGCGAATTGAAACATGATTAAAATACACATCTATATTTCAACCAGATCCTAGTGTTGTGAATACAAGTAAAATGATTGTGTTAAACCACTAGACCACACAACTTCTCTCAGTTACCGATTTATATGGTTTAATGTGCAATCTGAGGTTGGTGAATTTTGCCTGGACAGTGGTATGGAAGTGTTGTGAAATGTGCTTGTGTACAAGAAAAGAAAGTTCATGGTCGAGAGTGGAAAGTTGATTTGTATAGTGAACAGTGCAGTTGTTGTTGACATAATGCCAGGTATGAGATAAACTGACGGTGATTGGTCGCGTCTGGTGTTGGTTGTTTACTTCAGCTAAACTATGTTATCTTATCAACCAATAGTACAGATAGTCTATATAGATATTATCAATGATATATCGTTATCTTTCAGTTGGGACAAACAAAACTTGAGGTCCTGTGTACAAAGAGTGCATGTTAAAGACTGTTGGAAGTTCCCCCATAGCAGAGCATATATGCCCATTTCATTTCATTTTTTACAGTTATCCCCTCTTGTCTCCACAAATCAGATTTTGATAACGATCCTTTAAGGACAGGTCAGGCACTGGAGATTTAATTATTTAAGTTGGTCAATCGCAATTGTCTACAAGCATGCATAGTTTCATTTCGATTACCCTTGAATTAGCAGACTATTTTGTTCCCTGGCGGAGCCTTAGGTTTTTTTTTTTAGAGTGTAACTCCAAGAGCAACAAGATGAAAATTATGGAACCAGACACTAGTGGAATTGTGCCTGACAAAACCTAACATGTAGCCTGACAATGTCTGTGATGAGTGCCTTTTATGTTCTGTACTTTCATAAATAAAGATTGTTGCAGTTAATCACCAAGTGTTGCAACTTTGAAAATTTAATGCCATAATAAAATGGAAATCTTCATCAGGACTTATTTCTTCCCAGATTTATTTTCGGACAAAAACTTATTAATTATACACGATATCGTAGTCTTAGTAACCTTTATCTTAATCCTAGGCAATTATCTACAGCTCTGATACAAGACTTTTACTTCATTTCTTAACATTTTGGAGTCTGATTCAGATTTGTGTAACTTAAACTCATTTTCATGAACAGATAATCTAGGACTAAGCCTTCAAAGCTAAATATATATACACAGTTAACTATTATCACAATCTTTATCAAGCAGTTTATCTTCCATATTTACTATTTTATACATGTAAACAATTTAATCCCGATATGACAACAAATTGATAGAGATGATAGAAAACATTCTCGATGAATGATTACACCTTAGTTGATAACCAACTTTTTATATATATAGGAGTCAAGATTATCATCTGACATGATTGGTTGGTAAAATTATAATTGTACTACGATAGGGTACTGCCCAAAAAATATGTGTTATTTTTCACCCAAGATTTAATAACTCATTTATCCAATCACCTGTGGACATTTCTTTTTTAACTTGTAATACACAAAAACATGCATTACAATACACAGAGAGAGAGAGAGAGATGGGATGGATTTAAGTCCACTGGACACAAACTAGGTCATTTCGGGACTAACATTTGGTTCAATTTTATTTCAATAATTCGCTTCTGCATAGGAATCTTTAGCAGCAAAAGGACCCGGAGAAAATCCACGAGGTTTGGACAGGCGACCCTACTCCTTGTCACGTACAACCGGGGAATCAAAACCATGCCAGTTGACCATATGATACAAATAACATGTGCTAACTTCTAGTGTTTTATAGTGTTTACTGAACCTAGTAGACTAACTTCTAGTGTTTTATAGTGTTTACTGAACCTAGTAGACTAACTTCTAGTGTTTTATAGTGTTTACTGAACCTAGTAGACTAACTTCTAGTGTTTTATAGTGTTTACTGAACCTAGTAGACTAACTTATAGTGTTTACTGAACCTAGTAGACTAACTTCTAGTGTTTTGTATTGTTTACTGAACCTTGTAGACTAACTTCTAGTGTTTTATAGTGTTTACTGAACCTAGTAGACTAACTTCTAGTGTTTTATAGCGTTTACTGAACCTAGTAGACTAACTTCTAGTGTTTTGTAGTGTTTACTGAACCTAATAGACTAATTTCTAGTGTTTTATAGTGTTTACTGAACCTAGTAGACTAACTTCTAGTGTTTTATAGTGTTTACTGAACCTAGTAGACTAACCTCTGGTGCTTTATAGTGTTTACTGAACCTGGTAGACCAATCTCTAGTGTTTTATAGTATTTACTGAACCTAGTAGACTAACTTCTAGTGTTTTATAGTGTTTACTGAACCTAGTAGACTAACTTCTAGTGTTTTATAGTGTTTACTGAAACTAGTAGACTAACTTCTAGTGTTTTATAGTGTTTACTGAACCTAGTAGACTAACTTCTAAGGTTTTATAGTGTATACTGAACCTAGTAGACTAACCTCTGGTGTTTTATAGTGTTTACTGAACCTAGTAGACTAACCTCTAGTGTCTTATAGTGTTTACTGAACCTAGTAGACTAACTTCTAGTGTTTTATAGTGTTTACTGAACCTAGTAGACTAACCTCTAGTGTTTTATAGTGTTTACTGAACCCAGTAGACTAACTTCTAGTGTTTTATAGTGTTTACTGAACCTAGTAGACTAACCTCTGGTGTTTTATAGTGTTTACTGAACCTAGTAGACTAACTTCTAGTGTTTTATAGTGTTTACTGAACCTAGTAGACTAACCTCTGATGTTTTATAGTGTTTACTGAACCTGGTAGACTAACCTCTAGTGTTTTATAGTGTTTACTGAACCTAGTAGACTAACTTCTAGTGTTTAGTAGTGTTTACTGAACCTAGTAGACTAACTTCTGGTGTTTTGTAGTGTTTACTGAACCTAGTAGACTAACTTCTAGTGTTTTATAGTGTTTACTGAACCTAGTAGACTAACCTCTAGTTTTTTTATAGTGTTTACTGAACCTAGTAGACTAACTTCTAGTGTTTTATAGTGTTTACTGAACCTAGTAGACCAACTTCTAGTGTTTTATAGTGTTTACTGAACCTAGTAGACTAACTTCTAGTGTTTTATAGTGTTTACTGAATCTAGTAGACTAACTTCTAGTGTTTACTGAATCTAGTAGACTAACTTCTGGTGTTTTGTAGTGTTTACTGAACCTAGTAGACTAACTTCTAGTGTTTTATAGTGTTTACTGAACCTAGTAGACCAACTTCTAGTGTTTTATAGTGTTTACTGAACCTAGTAGACTAACTTCTAGTGTTTTATAGTGTTTACTGAACCTAGTAGACTAACCTCTGGTGTTTTGTAGTGTTTGCTGAACTGTGAGACCGAGAATGCTCGGATATAATCACCCATTTCTTCTCTGGTTTCTATAGCTCTCTTTACTAACCACTGAAATTACAAAACCAGTGGTTGCCAGGCAGGATACGCCCACATTTTACAAGAGATGGATAGAGAACAAGCTAAAATAAAAAGTTATTTTTCGCACAATCAGGGACCATAATCCAAGAAGTTATGGTCTGAAATGCGCGAATATCGAAATGGACTGAGAAATTTTGGATATAAAGATATATTTTAAGTTTCATCAAAACCTAGAAAGTCCACAACCTTAGTATTACATACTTTTATACTATTTGCGTACAGTGAGTGACCATTTTGTCGGGCGGTTTCGGTCCAATTATCAAACTCAACTGTCATTAGGGTGTAATGGTGATACATTTAAACGTTTTTTAAAATTGGATGACAATTGTGAGCTGTAGAGGGTCCACAAGCTAAAAACATGATTTTTCGTACGATCAGGGGCCATAATCCAAGAAGTTATCATGTGTTATGGTTACATAAATGTAAAGTTTCATCAAAATCGGACTAAAATTGTGGCCTCTATGGGGTCCACAACCTTGATATACATGTACCATATTTTTACATTATTTGCGTACGAGGATGGACAGACGGCCGGACAGACAGACAGGGGTGACAACAATATAAAGAGAAATCCTACAAATAAATAGAATGAGATTTAACTTCCTATTTGTTTTATGATGGCAAATTTTGTTGACAGCAGATTATTTTTATTTTTGTTTTTCGTCCCATCCAAACGACTAGACAATTCACCTTGCCAGGCCCTTAGTTCTGTACCACTGACAAGGGGAAACCTGGCTGGAAAATCCTGAGGAACTTTTTGAAAAACATGACAAATGATTTGTCTAATTCTGGTGTATGTCTGATAATTTTGTTTTACTTGTTGTCTATGTTACATCCTATGTAAAGCGCCATATTGATTACCTGAACAACTGGAAAGATATGGATGAAATCCAAGCCTTGAATTTGATGAGGTTCAATTCTCTGTGGACATTTCATCTTGGGAAGTACAGCTACAATCTTCTCAGTTAGAGCTCTATAAAACAAGAAAGATATGTTGAAACACTTAATTTCATGTAATTTGTGGATAATTTACTCCTAATTACAGGTATAGTACTATCCAGGGCTAGAAATTCACGCGAATCTCCGAATCTGATTCGCGCAAGAGCTTACGTTGCGAAGCTACAAGGATTCGAGTAAGATTTTTCTAAAAAAAAAAAAAAAAAATCTTGGAGAATTGTTGAGTCCGACATTTAATCTAGCCGATTGGTAAAACAATCAATCCGTCACTATGGTATCATAAATCAATCTACTTTTGGCTAAATTACAACAGGGTAATTATTACTTGTTAATAAAAAAAGTCAATCAACTTGCTGGTCGGCTACAATAACAGTCATACCTCATATGGTTCTTAATCTGAGTAATTGGCACATTTAACAGTGATTTTGACAATCCGGTAAAAAAAAACAAAAAAAAAAAACACGCTTGCTGATAATTCATAAAAGGTTCAGTAAAATACGCCACGTGGCGAATAAATATGAACGTAAAATTCTAGAAACAAACGACGACGAACGAAAAGCGAATAAAGACGATCTCGGTATGGTTTGTGAATCGCACGTCTTCTACGCTCCGTCCGTGTGAATTCCAGGTACAGGTAGATATTAAAATACACTGGATCATACATTGATGGATTCACTGACCAGTTGTTAGGTAAATTTAAATCTTCATTGAATATAATCCCCTGGTAGAACACCGAATACACGGAAAGAGAAACAGTGGGTATTTTCCCGATAGAATCTCAAATGCTGAATTCCTATGACATGTGACATATCGGTTGGAATTAGGTCAATAAACCAGATCTAAATGGCGTTTATACACATGCTGACAGAGGCCTTATTTTAAAAATATTATTGAAGCTATATTAAAATATCACTGTTTTTTATGTATAACTATATATTAACGTTCATTAAGTATGTGTGATTTAACTTTATAGACAGAGTAAAGTAACAATTTTGCAAAGAACCAAAATTGTCTCAAGGACCAAATTGTTACACAAAAGAGAGCATGTTAATTTCACATCTAAAGCATGCTCACAAAACCAGACTTTGCCTTTGTAAGAATGGGGAATGAATATCATGTTACTATGGTTACATGTCAATCTTTTCCTTTCATGGCTTCTATTATGTGCACATCACTGTATGTACATGGTGGACCTCGGTTTTTCATTGTCAGGATAGAAGACACGCAACCAGGCAAGTGGAAACTGGGTTTCAGCGCACACTAGAATTGGAATTCTGAAGATTCTAGTGAAGAGTCCACTAGTAGCCTTATCACTCGCCTATCGCAACTCCAGCACTGTTTAATTAAAGGACGAGAAAGACTCACATTTTCTGACCAATGGTTGAATTTTCTTGAAATAACAAATCAACATCAACATCAAAGTTACAAGTTGTTATACACCAACTCATTCCACCAACCACCTGTAAATATATCAAGCGATTTCGGACTAATATAATTACTCAGCATTGACGTTTTTATGTTCTTTTTATCCCTTACCATGTAAGCACTGCAGACGATGGTGATTTCCTGTAATGTTGAACTGGACAAATATACTGTATGCATAATAATACCAAGGTTGTGGACACTCTAGAGGTCACAATTTTATCCGATTTTGATGAAACTTACAATGTATGTTTATAACCCAAAGATCCTGGTTCCTGTCGATATTGGCACATATAAGACTGTAACGTCTTGGATTATGGCCCCTGATTGTACGAAAAATCACAATTTTAACTTGTGGGCCCTAGAGGTCACAAATTTTATTGATTGTAAAAAACGTTCAAATACATGTAAACCACAGTTACACCATTACGGCTGAATTCAAATTCAAAGTTCAAATCGCCGCTCTCATTTTACGCAAATAATGTAGAAGGATATAATACCCAGGACGACCTTCGGATGTAAACTGTTGTCACGACTACAGTCTGAACCAGCATCCGAACACAAATGGCCCAAACCATTTCCTATTCGCCCATGTCAGTTGCTTCGGCAGCTATATTTTCTGCTATTTACTCATTTTTAAAACTATATTTTGACGATGAAGAAATACTTTAAAAACATTTTCTTAAAAAGCTGACTCCATCCGGGTTAATTGGTAACATGGATCATTTCACAAATTTTTTTGTCGTGGACCTATATTCTCTAACTTCCAGGTGTTACCATGAAACCTGATGTAAATAACGCATTGGCAATTTTATGATATTTTTCAGACCAATCTACAAACGTGTCAGTCTTTTCAGCCATCTTTGAACTATCCCGACCATGCTTTATTGCATGGTATGTTTGGTAACGGTCAGAGGTTGAACTAAATGTCATTTGAATGCAGATAGTTTGACTAGAGTACGGAAACCCATCTAGAGGTCACAATTCATTTCCAATTTGCCCTTATCGAACCATAACTTTCTGGATTATGGATGCTGATTGTAGGAAAATTCATGTTTTAGCTCTAGAGGTAGCAATTTTTATTTTATATTCAAAATCGTTCAAATATACCACCGTTATACCATAATTATGGTTGAGTCGGAATTTTTCAAAAATCGGACCGAAACTTCCTGTCAAACGGCCGATCTCCTTTAAGCAAATAGTGTAAAAGTATGTAATACCAAGGTTGTAACAATTTTTATCCGATTTTGATGAAACTTAAAACAAGTGTTTAAGTATCACTAGTTCTTGGGTAAGTTCAAATTTAGTGCACATCGGACCTTCCGTTCTTCAGTTATGCCAAATGCCTTTTACGCAAAATGTGAAATATGAATAAAGTTTGTGGACCTCCTAGAGACGACAATTTTTGTCCAATTGGAAATTAAACAATGTGTTGAGGATCAAAAGTTCTTGGACATGAGTTTCACTTTGGTACGCATGAAACCTTCCATTCTAGAGCTTTAGCAACTGCTATAGAATGTTAGAAAAACTCTATCCCGTCATTTCGGAAATGAGATGGAATGAAATATTCGACTGCTCAGTAAAGTTAACTAATTGGGATCCTCGCAACTGGGTGGCTCTTAACCCAGGGATCAGTATAGTGAATAGCAGGGTTTTTTCTTATGAAAGTCTGCGTTCTACTTCTAGAAGTCTCAATTCTATATTAATTCAGGTATCTCCCAGTTACGTCACTGTATCTAACTGAATAGTTACTTGCGTGCAATAACCTGAAGAAAAGATCACTTGTGACACACACCCCCCCCCCAACTCCACCAAGCCTGGTTGTAACTAAGTGTAAGATTGACATTTAATAACCGTATGTTTTACCTTATCAAATGGTGATAGACCTTTAATTCTGGCTCTAAAATACCCAGCAGCCAACAGCAGATTGATGGTTTCCTGTAGTTTAACGTTCTGTTCTTCATCTTCACGTGTTTCAACCTGAAATTAACAAGCTAGACTAGAAGACATTCTATTCTAAACTTCACCATATATCTACATTTGTAAATTGTCAGGGGTTCACAGCGGTCAAGTCTTTCTTACTTTTGTTGTTTTTTTGTTTTTTTTGTGCTACACGATCTATTACTGTTCCACATTTAATATCATACTTCTTGAGTCCAGCAGTTGGCTCTTTCAATCTCTGGTTTATCATTTTCATTGACTTACGTGGGGTTTGGGTCTAAACGCCTGCACAGGTTTAAATTGAGTTGGGGGTTTTCCCGAAGAAATTGTTTAACGTCTGTCAAATAAATATGACATAGGAATGAAAGAAATTATGGACATAAAATTTAATTTAAAAAAGAGCTTTTTTCTACCCTCTAATCATTCAGAATCAGGGATAAGAATAAATTCAATTAAGACAATATTCTGAAATTTACTCAGGTTTTAAATCAGTTTGAAGGTATTCATTTCAGCTATTTTAAGGCTACCGATATTGGAATTCTAGTATAAGGGTGACAGTTTTGATTGAAAATATTCTTAAGCCTTGGACACACTAGTAGGGTGACCCACCATAAATAAATATCTCCATATATCTCGACAATTACACCACAATATTTATATATATGCCAAGCCTCAAATCAGTTTCACACAATTATAGTCACTAAATAAACGATCATGTTGTACTTAATAAGCTATGACCATTAATCATGTATAAATAATAGACTGAAAACTGGTTCCAAGAGTCGTCCATAACATCCAGACACTTTTGAGTAAAAGATAGGTTACGTGCCCTTGTTTTGAAATTAGAGTCGCTTAACCAGTCTATCGACCATTCTAAGGCTGATTGACAGGTCGGGATAATCAAGACTACTTTATTACGAAACATAACAGAAAGCTAGAACAAGAAATGGAATTAAGAAATGAGCACGTTAGCTAGCTCAACAATTGTTTTAAGAAGCTTGTAAAAGTAACATCCATAACATCCAGACACTTTTGAGTAAAAGATAGGTTACGTGCCCTTGTTTTGAAATTAGTCTCGCTTAACCAGTCTATCGACCATTCTACGTCTGATTGACAGGTCGGGATAATCAAGACTACTTTTTTACGAAACATAACAGAAAGCTAGAACAAGAAATTGAATTTAGAAATAAGCACGTTAGGTAGCTCAACAATCGTTTTAAGAAGCTTGTAAAAGTAAAATGAAACTATTACTGCTATTATCATGTTCCTGTCTAACCCGAGTGATTCAGAGATATTATTTGTACTAAACCAAAAGATGCCGCTCTTAACGGTACAGTTAATGATAAAGCGATTTAAAAAATGAAACGAACGTAATTTCTAAATCTGCTGTAATAACAAAGAAGCTTAAGTTTACTGCTATTCAAAATCGTCAACAATAATTTTTTTACGGCTGTAATAGTTGATAGATTTGTAGAGAATTGCACGTGCCATGGCCATTTATAGTATCATACTGTCAGAAAGTTGGTCTCGGCACGGCGAATGTGCACGCTTCAGTGGTAGTCTCGAACTGTATTTCTGTGAGTACATGGGTCACCTAACACTAGTTGAACGATTCGATTGAATTGTTCGACCAAATCAATCGGCTTCGAAATTCGCCTACTGTGTGAACCATCGTAAATTTTAAACAGATTTCTTCGATTATGAAAAAACTACTTAACTTTGGTTATTATAAAGTTACCTGTGTGTTTGTAATGAACTCCCGTTCGATAAAATCCATTGCAATACTAATTATCACAACGATGAAAACAAGTTCTCTCTTGAAAAATTTGAAATTTCGACAGAGTCGATGTCAACAATGTCTTCGTGACGTATTGGTCGAATCCAATATACCTGTTGCGGGGGTTGGTTAACATTGAAAGATAGTTTGACAGCGCGATCATTTTGATCGTATATGGGTTTGGGCGACAAAAAATATCAATTGAAGGCAATTACATAGGAGATTTATATGGAAACCATTGATCGCCAGTCTATCAAATTTTCTTCACAATTAAATTATCACTGATTGCACGGATACTCGTAAAAATAAAGTCATATATAAACTATAAATATCCTATCTTCTTTCTGTTATAAATAATTTAACAAGGATCATGAAGCTTACCTCCGAATTCTCTGAGTGTATTTTTAATTTTATACGCATTCTTTCGATCGAATAATAACCGCTTCAGTAACATCTTTAAGCGTGTTGCGACAGACCTCAACATGCCTATTGGGTGCCCGGGTGGGTATATAATGCTACTAAGCCCGTATGACCCCGTAAGAAGCGGAACATTAATTCTCGATTCGGCAGTTTTGACCGAAGTGTGATAAAGCCCGTAAAACGAATGTATAGTTGTGTTTGTGCGGCATGCGTGTTCAAAAGTAAATTATCCCATCCGAATCGCTAATCAAATAATTAGAACAAAATATTTCAAAAAGTAAAGCTATAAAATTTGCAGAGATTTTACTAGAATGTAAAAGACGGTAACTAAAATACAGGAATGCGGGTAGTTATGTGTGCGAACGCTCAAACTCAATGCCAATTGTCGTAGGTATCCAGACCACTCGGACCAAAGACTACTCGGACTAAGACCAGTCGGACCAAAACAAGACCAGTCGGACCAATTAAATTATATTATAAGGCTAGACAATATGCTATTTTTTTATTATTAAATCACAATACAAAGAAGCAAATAATTCTTATACAGAATTCTTATATTTAGAGTTGTTTAGTTCAATTTTGTGTACGGAAAATAAATCAACGATTAGTTTTAAAATTAATTAATAATGGTGACAAAAAAAAATATCAATCTAATTTTTCTTATTTACTCTTGCAATGAGACTCGGTATGTCCAGACTTTTGACAGTTTCTACATATACGGGTATACTGTTCTTATCTGATGGCCTAATTTTACTTTTTCCACATTTGCGGTATCCCCAATGGTTTCATTCCGTTCTACCCCACTAACCACTTTGTTAATATATGGGGGGGGGGGGGGGAGACACGTCTTCAAGTTATCCGCCCTTGATGCGTTAATATAAACAGCCCATAATAATACGAAGACCGGACGTTTATAATATGCACCTTTTTAAACGTGACTACAAGTGTGGTTCTCGATATTTTGCGATTTGGGATACAATTATCAATTTATTCAAACAACACGTTATTATTAGTTCGAGTAGCCATATTAAAACACACACAATTATCAATTTATTCAAATAACACTTTATTATTGGTTCGAGTAGTCATATTAAAATAAACACAATTATCAATTTATTAAAATAACACTTTATTATTGGTTCGAGTAATCATATTAAAACAAACGCAATTATCAATTTATTAAAACAACACTATATTATTGGTCTGAGTCGTCTTTCTGTTGGGTCCGAATAGTCTTTTTGTATGGTCCGAGTTGTCTATTTGTTTGGGCTGAGTGGTCTATCAGTTGGTCCGACTGGTCTTGAACCGGGTGGTTTTTGGTCCGAGTGGTCATGGATTCTTGTCGTAATTGTACTTGAATTTCCTATGCTGTCACCCCTAATACGAAATGATATCCTCCGCAGAATGACGTAACCATCTTCCATATTGGTATTTTTCTCTGGGAAAAGTTTGTGATATTTCAATTTTTCAAGAGAGAACTTGTTTTCATCGTTGTGATAATTAGTTGTGCAATGGATTTTATCGAACGGGAGTTGGTTACAAACACACAGGTAAGTTTATAATAACCAAAGTTAAGTAGTTTGTTCATAATCGAAGAAATCTGTTTAAAATTTACCAAGACTCAGACAGTAATGTTGCCTCTGACATTCAACCGCCATGTTTAATCATGTGACGTGAATGGTGATGCAATCAACTGGTGAATTGAGCGAAGGATTCGCCTAGGTAAGGTTTTCGTCGTTTACTCGCGTCACTCGAGTCGACTCCATTGCCGAGTTTACCCGGGTGAAACATCCCGAACGGTCCGAGTAGTCCGAGTAGTCACATGACATCAAAACAGCTACGACGTCAGTATGTAATCGAGAGACAGGCTTTTTTGCGTATAGGACGCCATTTTGTCACGTGACAAACCCTTTTACTCTCCGCTCAACGGGGAGTAACTGGGTTAGTCACGTGATGCGACTCGAGTCAGTCATGTGACCAACTCGATTCAAAACGCGAACGGTCTGGTGTCGACTCGAGTGACTCGGGTGAACAACGAAAACCTTACCCAAGTGTGTGCACCCATTCACTCATTCAGCCGAAATAATTCAGCGATGATGTATTGATTCGGTCGATTGATTTGTCTAATGTTGTCCAAAGCTTGGTGTATGATGGCAGTATCATTAGGCCTCATAGATAAAAATCTGATGTAATATGAAATCAATTACTTTATTGTCAATAAGAAATATAAAATATACACAATATATTATAAATATTCATTAATTATTTAATAATAATATTATCAATTTTGAGGCGCGGACATGTCCAGTGCCAAACATAAAAACATTGCCAGTGTAACTATGTCTCATGTTTAAAGATAAGGACAATGGATAAAAATTAATCTGTAGTTTGATCGCATTGTTTATACCTCGACTTCTCTGCCTTCTGTATCAACCTGAGTTGGTAATCTTGAAGAAGAAATTCCTGCAAAAACACTCCCTCCTGGATTAGCCATTTTGACAAGTCATGTGACTACCACGTGAGAATGGTTGTCTAACCCGGAAGTATATTTTTGTTAGGTTTGACCCTTGAACTAAATCATGACCGTGAGACTTTCTGGGTTCGTGAACTTTCATGACCGCCTTTTTGTTCTCATGTGTCCAGACTTACATTTCTATTGACAAAAACCGTACCGATAAGGAAATCAAAACATCACTGGTTGATCAAAAATGTGCCGCGGGAGTTAACGCGTGGTGACGTTAAAAGATTTGATTGGTTGTTGATCATCAGCCGAGTCTGATGTCGTCGTATGACAGAAACAGGCAAGTGTTAACCGGCTGATTAATACATTAAAATTGGTTAGAAAGATTTTGTTATGTTAGAACTAAGTTGTAGGTGATAGGGAAAGTTTACTCCAGACATTCCGCTTTGTCATTGTAAGTATATATGTACATTTGTAAAATATTTTAGATAAGGGTTTTCATTTTCTATTAGAAATTCTAGTTTGCTGTCTTCTCCGGGAATGGAATGGGATTGCAATATTTTGTTCAAAACACTAGGCAAGCAGTCATACACTTTCATATATTTGAGAACCCTTGCATAATAGGTTGATTGTTTGCTGCTATGTTTTACTTGTACATTGGCTGAGGCTTATAGTTATTTCATGATTATATATTTAGAGATTTCAATGTTCCTCCAGCCTCCAGGCTCTTTTAATTCCATTTGATAAAATTATAATTTTTATATGTTCTGACTGCTCTGTAACTGTAGTGTAATGTTCAAATTCAGGAGGGTTGGATGGGCGAACGGTTAGCTTGTACACCTTGTATCAGAAGGGCTACCATGGAATCAGCAGGCGTGGTTTCGATTCCCTGGTTGTATGTAACAGGGTCGCATGTCCAACTTCATGGGTTTTCTCCAGGTCCTCCGTTCCCTCCCACAGCTAAAGTCCCCCCCCCCCCCCCAGGCTATGGCCTATGCGCAAGCAAATTATTGAAATAAAAATTGAACCACATTATTATGTTCATCCCAAAATGAATTAATTTGTGTTGATTTAACGTTAAACCCCATTTTTTTCTCTCTCTCTCTATCTCTGCTGAAATTCACCACCAAACCTTGCATATTTCTATGACATTGCTACTCTCCTTGTTATGCATTAAACTCTTCCTACTGTCTGAACCATTGTAAATTTTAAATGGATTTCTTCGATTATGATCAAACTACTTATCTTTTGTTATTGTAAACTTACCTGTGTTTGAAATCAACTCCCGTTAAATAAAATCCATTGCACAATTTAATATCCCAACGAATAAAAAAGTTCTCTCTTGAAAAAATGGACGTATTTACTTGTATTTTTGACTGAGTTCAAGACAACATGGCTTTCCTACCGTGTTGGACGAAACCATTGAATCTGTTGCGGGGTATGACAGAGATTTTGACAACCACGTGTTGCAATCAAAACAAAGCGTCCTCATTTCGATCGTTTGAGTTTGGGCAACGAAAAATATCAACTGAAGACAGCGTTGGCCGTATTTTGATATGGTGCAATATTTATTGTTCATGATGAAAATATATTCTTTATCAATTATTTTTTTTTTTAATTTATTGTAAATAATACTTAAATCACACCATAGACCCCATTCTTCAATAGAGCGCTTAATCTCGCTTTAACTACGTACATCTTATCAGATGTTGTAAAACTCATAGTCGTTGCTTCAGGAACATGCATATAGCCCCATAATTTTAAATACCCTACTACATGTTTTATATCAGATTAAAGATATTCATGGGTAAAATGTAAGACCCGTAAAACGAATGTCATTGTTTTTGTGTCGTATTTGTGTTCAAAACAAAATTCATTCTCCCGACTCTAATCAAAAATATGATTAAAAGAAAATATTTCGAAAGGTAAAAGCTATAAACTTTGCAGAGATTTTACTAGAATATTAAAGATAGTAACAAAATAAAGGAATACGGGCAGTTATGTGTGTGAACGCCCAAACTCAATATTAGCCGGGATTACACAAAACATGAATTGTCGTAAAAGTTCCGCAAACCGTGACATCTTGTAACCCCTTTATACGAAATGATCTCTCCCGAAGAGTGACGTAATGGGCTTCCATTTTGGTATTTCTCCATGTCAAAAGTTTGTGGGAATTTAATTTTTTCAAGAGAGAACTTTTTTATTCGTTGGGATATTACATTGTGCAATGGATTTTAATTAACGGGAGTTGATTTCAAACACACAGGTAAGTTTACAATAACCAAAGATAAGTAGTTTGATCATAATCGAAGAAATCCGTTTAAAATTTACGATGGTTCAGACAGTAGTCCTTTACCAGTAGTCCTTTACCAAGTGTTTACCACCAAGTCACAAGACACGTCTGGAGGTTGAAGGCATACCTATGGTTGACGGCTGTCATTTCAATCTTTCACTTCAACAAGAAGTAAAGAGCAAACTATCTATCACTACGAAAGCCAATAATATTTGATTGGCTGACTGTAAGCAGTTTATCATTGTCTAGCCAATTGTGAAAGTCTTGTAATTGTATGAAATGTGCTTTATTGCTTCCAGTACAGCGAAATAGGGAATGTCTCTGAAGGCTTACTGCCATGAACTTAAAGATTATGAATGAAATAAGAAGAAATATAAAAACCTATGGAGACTACGTACAGTGGCCGTGTGTAAATGCCACATGTAGCACATAAATTGATGATGTAATGTACAAACTAGGAAAAGTGAATTATTCTCACGTCAGGAATTTTTTTAGGTGTAAATTACGCAGCGTCCGTTAGTATTTGCGTGATTGTGACCTCTGCATACATGTAAAAGTTGCTTACAGGCAAGTTGCATGTTCAACAATGGCTCAAGTACTACTATTAGGAAGATTAACACAAATTTCTTCATCAAATATGATTGATTTTAAACCTTAAACAGACTGCTACAGGTATTTGGAATACATAATTTCATCATTGTATATTTCAGTATAAATATGGCCTCTATACAGTCGTTATTAGCAAGAGGAACAGTTTTATTTACAGTTGGTGTCTTCTTTGCTCTAGTTTTAAATCTTCTACAAGTACAACGTCATGTGACCGTGTTTCCACCAGAAGTTCTAGCAAGTATTTTCTCCTCAGCTTGGTGGATTCCTCCCAGTTGTGGCACTGCAGCAGGTAAACAAATAAACACTCTTTCATTTTCTCATGTGTCCCGAGTAAAACAGTATGCCTATTCTGGATGTCAAGACTGTGATGGGTAGGCCTAGTTTTACTACTATTTTGTTAAGATAGTGCGATCCAGATATCCCAAATTTTCTAGATCTACAGTTTGTTAACCAATTAACAATTACTATGGTTTCTTACTCTGTGATGTTTCAATAAGATTTCACAATTTGTTATCAAGCATATAAACACAAATAGAGAGAAGTCCATTAATTTGATTATGGCCCCAGTTATTGATATGTTTATTTTATTTCAGCTATAATTGGTTTATTGTATCCATGTTTAGATACGAAACTTGGTGAAACTCAGTATTATAAACGAGAATGGTCAAGTGTTATGAGATGTGTTGCTGTGTTTGTTGGTATCAATCATGCTAGTGCTGTATCCTTTAATTAACAATCATATCAATATGCATAACCAGGAGTTTGGATTTTTATATGGTTGATTATCCAGTATCTTTGGCCAAGTCAAGTAAGAGATGCATCCCGTCCCGCAATAAATCCCATAATTCTTGCATCAATATATTACTTACAAACATGGATTGTGACGACGAATTGGGATTAATAAAAAAAAAAAACAACATATGAGTGTTGTTAGATATTGTACTGGCAATACAATCAAATGGATTTTCCGAAATGCCATTCTTAAATTAATTTCGTTGACGTCAACATCTTGTTTTGGGACTAGTTACCTCCCTTAGACTTTGTTTATGTTAATTTAAAACACCCAATAATCTAATCAATGACCTATTATTCTCAAATGTTGACAACGCATCCCGACTTATATTTGTAGATTCTGGATGATAGAGACTACATGGAGTCATATTAAACTTTATGTATTCTATAATCTCAAGTGTCAAGTTCAATATAAAAATAATCTACAGTCATGTATGTTTACTTGAATTAATGCAATTTTAAATATATGCATTTCTATCTGTTCAGTTGTGTGGTTTACATTTCAAGGGACATAACTCTTGTCATTTGACCTATTTCTTACTATCTAGTGTAGTTATATGATGTATTATTTATAGATTTATTACACCTTAACTCCGTGTATAGAAAATAGATTTTGCTAATAATATGCAGTTATCAGTTACATTAGCAGCTATGTCTATAGGATTATGGTGGTTATTTGATAGATCTAGAAGTGGTTTTGGTCTCGGAGTTGGAATTGCTGTATTAGCTACGTTTGTTACACAGTTACTCGTTTATCACGGTGTCTACAGGTACAAATGTTTACTATTTCAATATATTGGGTGGTGGGCGGGGGGGGGGCTGAATGGTCTAACATGTGCATTAGATCATAATGTATGTTATTGTCAAGTTGTACCGTGAGCTTACTACACTGGCCTGTACAACCGTATAGGTTTTCTCAGGGTCCTCTGGTTTCCTACAATCTCTAAAGACCCCTACATGCAAGCAAATTATTGGAACGAAATTAAACCATATGTTAGTCTAATTTGTGCGAGTTGATCCAACCTCTCTCTGATTTATTTTATACTTCAATATGACAATATAAAAAATAATCTTGTTTTATTTATTGAATCAGCTATGTGATGTATTATATATTTGTAGATATACAGAACCAGACTTCCTGTTTGTACGATCATGGTTACCATGTATCTTTTTTTCTGGTGGTGTTACTATGGGTAATATTGGTCGACAGTTAGCGCTGGTATGTAAATTGTTTATGATTTAAATAATGGAATGATCTGTTTTAAATTGTCATACATAGATTAATTAAGTTTGGGCCATCAATTCAAACTCCAAAGCTATTTTTAGTCTGGATTAAAGATACACATTTTGTGCAAAATATTCTAAAACGAGACTGAATAATATTTGGGGAGGGGGGTGGGGGTTCAAGTCATTGCCTGCTGGCCTGAATATACATGTTACACTTGTTCCTATTTTATAGTATGATGGAGATAAAGACAAGGAAAAGAATGAATGAAGGAAGCAGAGATGAATGAAGAGGAGAAATGAATCTGGTTTCTGATCTTGTTTTATTTTCCATTTTATAATGGGCGTCTCAAAGACATGGATACCTCACTCCATTAATATCACATGATTGATTGAACCAACTTTGACCTCTGACCCTTTCCCTGTAAGGGCTATGTATAAAGGTTTGTGTGTGCTACTGTGGCAGGGTACTTGTCAATGAAATCTTCCAGGATGCACAAATACAGCTGCATATTGACTTGTGAATACTCAGACTAATTGAGTTGTTGTGGTGTAAACTGTATAAATGGCTGAATGAAAGAAACAATAACATATATATATATATATGATGTGTCTGTTAGACTGTGTATTATTTATAGTTTTATCAGGCCTGGAACTTGTATCAGACACAAGATGTCAGACAATATCTCCAGGCTTGTTACCCTTGACCTTGTATTAATCAGGTGTGTGATTTATTATAAAAGACTAGATATTGGTGAAACTAATAGATATTGACAAATCATCTTACACCATTATGGTGTTAATTAAAGAATCAAGGCGACCCTCTTCAAAACATCTTCATCAATTCTTGATGTGACATGACAATTACAAGATGGCGGTGAAGACGTGGTGAACTATAAATATTGTAAAATCATATTATAATATTGTGATCATTCATCAACATGATACTGGACTTTTAAAACTTGCTTTCAACTCTGTGGCCAGGATGAAATCCTTGTAAACATGAGTTATTTCCCTTGGTGGCTAGTTATTATATATGTTGTTGTGTTTGAGAACTCTAGATATAACCTCATCTAGTCCATGTATTATATGTCTATATTGTAAATATTGTCCACAATAATAAAACATCTTTTTATAATAACATTGTTTATTTTCTTTCTTCACACTTTAAGAAAGCCCCAGCATATCAGAATAAAGGTTAAATATGGGAAATAAAATGGCCAAATCTATTTCACTTGTGCAGGAAGCGTTCCTCATTATTTCACCTGAAGTGAGTCAGATGTTCCCTTCTGTCGAAGCTCTTCTCATCTCACACTGCTGAACCCTGCTAGTTCCTACTCAGCCGAGCGATCCTTCAGCACTCTGTGCCGCTGTATCAAAACTTGGCTGCGCAACTCAATGACGCAATACTGACTGAACCACTTGATGTCATGTGCGGTGCATAATGACCCCCTTCATGTCGCCAAGATATTCAAAGAGAACAGTCCTGATCGTGGAACAATTAATATTTATGCAGCTTTGATGTAGGTAGTCAATTTTTCCACATTGTCATCATATTACCCCTAGTTAGACCCTACAGCCTTCATCGAAATAACACTGGTACAGTAAATTGTTCGTAATTATTTATTTGGTTTGGTAATGAAATGTTAGGTTACAACAAATCCACGCTTTTTTGGGCCGCCCATGTGGCTGCATATTTCAAGTACTCTCAAAACTTGTTAATTTGTGACCAACTGCTGGATTATAATTCTTAGTTTTTATATGCCCACATTGAAATGTGGTCGTACTTTGCTTGTAGACGCTCTAGTGACTAAAGTTAAGATCCGATTGACTTAAAATTCGTACAGTGTTTAAGGTTATGAGACAATGAAGCCTGTTGATTTTCAACAATTTCCGATAATTACTGCCATGGTTATGGTCCTTGATTACTTGTGGATGCGCTAGAGGCTAAAGTTAATATAAATTTATACAGTGTTTTTAAAATCATGAGACAAAATATTGTGTTGTAAATCTTTTCATTACTGACAAAAGAAAAATATGCACAACCCTCGTTGACTGCCCTTATTCTGTTAATTCTGCCAAATGGGGCTTCTAGAGCTTCCAGCACATGTAACTATGGGTCGAGGTTAGTCCTGTCTATTTCCGACTCTTAACTCAGATAGGAAAATCGGAAGAAAACTTGTTTCAAGGAATATAAACATACAAGCCAAAAGAACGTGAAATATGACTGTTTATTAAACACATAGATGACGTCAATCCTGCAACTTAATACATCACAATAACAATCTATGAAATATATTTAAACGTCCAAATAATAAAATGGCGGGATTTAAACTTAAAATAGCTAAGTCTCTAACTCAATATCATTAAAAAATCTTCGACTTTGAAAACACGAATTATTTGTCAATTCAAATCAACATTGGTCTTGTGATCTTTCAGGGAAAAGACAGGCTTCTGATATCCAATATCCAAGACAAAACATTTTACCATTGGTACACGAATCGTGTACCATAATGCATTTCAGCGCCATTTGGAACAAGGGACTCGAAGAACAGATCAAGACATATTCCACAAGTCATGTCAAATGGTGACGCTATATTCTTATCTGGAGAGCATGTCTAATAAGTACATACGGTGTAGACTGGAATAACCAGACGCTAAAGATTGTCATTCAATTGAGGCTTCTGGCGTAAATCGGTTTATATACATTCATATTACATTATTATATGCGTTGCGGCCCATTTGTGTCAAGTTCTAGGTACCAAGTATTAGCGATTTAACTCCTTTAACGTCTTACTGGGGTGCTAATGGGCTACACTACACGTATGTTTTTACTTCCATGCGAACGACTAGTGGCCTTTCCTTGCATGACTGCAAATAATTCAAATACTAAATCTAATGAACGATTTTGTCAAAACGGTCGAAAATTGTCTATAAAAATTTATATTTTTTGTTAAAACAGACAAACAGCCGAGTTTTATTCTGACATTTTAAATTATTTGTGCTAGAGTAGACTTTAGTTGAATCATCCATTGTGTTTCATACATATATTAATTTTAGGTGTCTTAAAGAGCCAAATCTGCCAATTGCACGTCTTTCTTTTGGCCTGAAATGTTATATAAATTATTAATTAGACATTAATTAACTTATACAGACCATAATCAATTCTCGGTTCCATCTTGATGCTCGACATTTTCAAAGAGTTAAAAGCAAAACGATTGGTGGTTAATGGATAAGCGAGACCTCTTTTACTATCGTAACAACGGTAGCAATGATATTCTCCAAACAGACCTCATGTCGCTCGGAATTAAATAATTTGATTGAAATTTTCAAGATATTCCATTTTCATGACGACATCACCGATATAGCGAGAACTGTCAGCTCTGTATGTTAATCTTACATAATGCATCTTTAATTGATGGCAGGCTTATATGTATACCAGATAAAACGTTGTAAATGACATGCGTATTAGAAACATTGTCTGACGTAATTTATGAATTTTACAAACTTGAGCAACATAAACTGACAACACAGAACCATTAGTAGCCTACTCTATCTCGATCCGCTACCGATATATATATATATATACATGGTAATAGTCAGGCTATTGTTATTGTAAAGGCGTCGCTTATTTAGTTAGTTTGATCGTGTTTAACGTCGCTTCCACCTAGGGTTATATCGCAGACAAAATATCAGCTTCAATATTTGATTGGCTCACCGGAAGTACTAAGATAATATTGGTTTGACGCAGAGTGCATATACCAGACAGTGTGCTATAATAAGAAGGATTTTGCGCTACGGCTTACACTTATTTCGAATTCCAAATGTCAGTGGTTCTTTTACGTGCACGCCAATATGTACACGGGGCATCGGTTTTTTTTATCCCATCCGAACGACTAGACACGCCAGACCCACCGTCCTCTGGAACTTTCACGGCCAAGACTAGGACTAGTAGGAGCGAACTGTGGAAGCGGTCTTTAAATCTCATAGTAGTGGGAGTAACTGTAGCATAGTCGGAGCCTGCGTGTTACCATGGTTAGCGAATTGTGGAAGTAGTGGGAGTAACTGTAGCATAGTTGGAGCCTGCGTGTTACCATGGTTAGTTAAAGGTAACGGACCGTTGTTTAGAGTTGATCAAACAAGGACTAGCTAATATCTAATTACGTCACGTCACCATGGAGAGTGGTTAAGTTGGTTTATGTCGACAGACAAGAACTGGAACTGGTGAATGATGAATAATGTAATCACTGACACTGCCCATGATCGTTCTTCTGAATTTACCCAACCCCCTGGTTCCCGTGACAACCAGATCAGCTTTCTCTTGTTTAACAATATCCACAATAACTTCTCCTGGTTTGCCTGATGCAGTTCGAAACTTGCCACTCAGCTGTAAAAAATAACCCAGTTATACGTTTAAATCAATTTTTGTTTCATATTGAAAACGGGGTCGCCTATCTAACCACGTGGGTTTTCTACGGTTTCACCACACTGTTATACTCTACATGTAGCCTATATTGGGACCTGAGGATTACTCGAGAATCAGAAGCTCACTAGTATCAGACTATATACTACAGCTCATTCAGACTATATACTACAGCTCATTCAGGTGCAAGCATATTATATAAAGGAGTAGAGTGGGGTGAGGCCAAAACGGCGACAATGCTTCGCACGTTTGTGTGTTCAACCCCTCTATCCTTATTGGTAGTCGAAAAGATTATTTATTAACCAACTTGATTAGAATATTCGCCCAGATCAGATGATTCAGTAATGATACCTTTTTAGCTGTCAATAGTTCCTTATATTTCTTCTCAAGTGCTTCAACTTTACCCTCCACCTCTTTTAAAATCTGTTCTACTATAGCAGGACCTAGAGGGATATATAACGTAACATTTATAACTGTTCTACTATAGCAGGACCTGGGACTCGACCATTAAACCCCTTGCAGAGGCGGATTCAGGGGGGGGGGGGGCGAGGGGCGCGACAGTGCCCTTTTTTACTGCTGAAAGTGCCTTTTCTCAGACCCAAATATGTCCGTTCCCAACCCGTTGCAGGGATCCGAAATGACTCAAACCATCGATTCAAACACACCAGTCTGGTCTAATTAATGCTTCCACTTTCAAACGAATTCTTGTTGTTTAGCTGACGGTGCCCTAATCCTATAGAGTGACTATAGACAGACATCTTGTGGAATCGGCGTTGTATACACTCATGTCCATCACCGACGCGCATAAGTGCAACTTGATGAAGCATTTTGTTTATGTGTGGACAGTACAAAGTACAATTTACAAGGCTTAAATAGTGAAGTGGCTAGGGAATAGATCGTCTTTTTTCCCATCATAATGCCTCTCTCGCCTTGACAATTTTCGAGTCGCATGTTCAACTAGCTTTTTTGCTCGATTTTAAGGCTCTTTTTCAACGATTTCCGAACGTTTACTTGGACGAAAATATCAGCCTAATAGCTCTTGGAATGGCTACAGATGCAAGGAAATGACGGATAATTTTCTTAGGGGACCCCCCCCCCCAAAAAAAAAAAACCCTCTCAGCGGCGTGCCCCGTCTCCGCTGTCAGTGCCCTCATTTTGAGGCCCCCCCCCCCCCTTTTCAAAATTCCTAGATCCGCCCCTGCCTTGGGCCCTACTGTACGAGTCTATAACACATGGAAACAGAAGTCAATTTATACTTACTGGCTAATGTTAAATCATAGGATTCTGGTACATGTATCAACGTTAAATAATCGCCATCTTTCTGTATATGGTCACAATAAACTGTAAAAAATAACAATACCCAGTAATACAACACTTAAACATACATTATGGCAGATTAGATAAAGAGTTGGCAGTTCTCACTATAATAGTTAAAAACTAGATAATGTAAAGGGAATTTAATGAAAATTTCTGTCAAACTGATCCACTCTGAACCGAGAATTTAGCGATTGAATTTTAGGCCTAGCCTCGATCATCATTACTAAAGTCGGTACGATAAAAAACATAGTCTCAATTATTCATTTTTTGATTTAATCACCAATAAGCGTTCAGAAGCAGATCGGGGGCCTGTTTCACGAAATTTTAACTAAGATAAAATCCAAATTTTAGAAATTTGATTGGATAATTTTAGATTGATTTTAGTGGTTAGCCAATCAAAATTGAAGTATCTACTAAAATGTAGATTTTATCTTTAGTTAAAATTTCGTGAAACAGGGCCCAGATTCCAGTCAAGTAAATATCGCAGGCTAATGATGACATCGAGAGATGGATAATTTAATTAATGTCTAATTAATAATTTAGATAACATTTCTGGCCTAAAGAAAGACCTACAATATTCAGATTTAGCTCTTGCATAATGTATGTTTAATGCCTCGGTCCCACTGGGTAAAAAAACATCGGCGATGTGGAAATAAACAAATCTTCTCCGAATGGCTCCAGATAATTTTGCCACCAAAAAACGGAGTAGTTCCATTAGAAACGTCCATAAATCTTCTGGGAATGGCCCCCGAACAGTTAGCGTGAATCATCGTGGATGGTTCCCAATGCTCTGGGAAAACTCCAGTGTACTAACGCTGATGATCATCGGGTGAATATCCCATAGATTAGAGGATACATCGGTGAGTACCTGCGAACCATCGTAGGTGTCTCTGGGAAGGAGTTATTGGGGGCGCAGTGGCGGCGTCAATCTGGTCTGCCCCCTATTTGCCCCCCCCCCCCCAATAATTTTGGAAAATAAAAAAAAATATCTGTGACACATTTCGGTAATCAGTACCTTCTACGGTGATTAAATCCCACATCACCACTCAGTCAGAGACTTGCATGTTGTAGATTCTGAGTGATTTCTTACCAAGCCCATCTATAAACAATAACACGTGAACCACTTGAGAAGTTTGACATTTCCCTCTCTGTTCAGATAAGCTGGTGATTTGGCGACGAACAGTATCTGGTCAGCTCTATTTCTGAAATACTGCCCGGCTGCATTTCCGGCAGTCTATATCAAAAAATATCGTGGCGAAAATATTCATTCACTTTGATTCACTCACTCCGTCCGTTTGACACTTTCCTCTCTGGTCGAATAAACTAGTGATTTGGCGACAGGCGGTATCTGGTAAGCTCTGTTTATCTCGACGATCAGTGCCTGAAATACTGCCAGACTGCATTTCCGGCAGTCTACTTTTTAAAATTTTCGGGGGCTTCGTTGAGGTTCGCAAGTCTGTTCATTTGACACTTTCATCTCTGGGGTCGGATAGACTAGTGATCAGGTGACAGACTGTATCTAATCAGCTCTATTTATCTCTGGGGTCAGATAGACTAGTGATCAGACGACAGACGGTATCTCATCAGCTCTATTTATCTCTGGGGTCGAATAAACTAGTGATCAGGTGACAGACGGTATCTGATCAGCTCTATTTATCTCTGGGTCGGATAGACTAGTGATCAGGTGACAGACGTTATCTCATCAGCTCTATTTATCTCGACATTCGGTGCCTAAATACTGTCAGACAGAATTTCAGACAGTCTATTTTTCAAAATTGTCTGGGGGAGGTCCCCCATACCCTCCGTAACGATTCCCTACTTTGGCGCTCGTGAGTGTGCTCTCGTCGAGGTTCGGTCGTTTGACACTTTATCTCAGCGATCAGTGCCTGAAATACTGCCAGGCTGCATTTCCGGCAGTCTGTTTTTCTAAAATTTCTGAGGGAGGCCCCCCACCCGTAGTTGAAGCTCGTGCCTTTGCCCTCTTAACCTTGGACTTTGCCCTAGCTTTGCCCCTCCAACCACCGGCGCATTTGTATATGCACATCTCAATCCCTTGCGTGGTGGAATATCGGCAGCACTTATTCCTGGGTCTCACTGGCCATTAATTGCCTCAGCGATATACTACCGATGGAAAATGATGAGCCTCGGGAGACGTCCGGAACAGGTTCCCAGGTGTCTCGGAGAAGCTTAGAGAGCATCGCGAGCCATGTGGAACCATCGAATGAACTCGGGACAACTGCAAAAAATGTCAATGTTGCACTGAAATTTTAGGCCGCAGTGTTCCGACAAGCAAAGGGAAAACAGACCCGTAAATCGGGAAAGCTGCGGAGATACTCCCCGCCTTGTTTTGCCCACAAAACGCCGTGAACACATCGGGAAATATTCCAATGCAATATTGAAATTTGTCGCAGTTATCTCGAGGTCTCCCGATTGTTCCACTTGGCTTGTGACGCTCTGGAAGCTTCCGCGGGACACCATGTAACCTGTTCCCGACGCCTCCATGTAAAACATGCACATTTCATGGTTACGAGACCATGTTAAACACGTACATTACGGAATTACGATACAATTTAAAACAAACACATTACAATGCCATGCAAAACACGCGCATTACAGGATACGATGCCATACAATCACATTTTATGGCCATCAATATCATGTAAAACACATACATTACACGCATACACTGAAAAACACGTACATTACATGCTAACCTTGCAAAGCACGTACATTACAATACATAGAACACACATATTGATCTTTATACCGACTATCAGTTAACGGTATAATGTGGAATGACAAGGACGTAATCAACCTCCTATCGATTTTCACGTGTTGCAGTTGACAATCAGCTTAGTAAGAGGAAATAAATAGCCTTCAATCTTCCACAGGGGGAATACAGACGCCATCATGTTTAAACATAACAGATTGATTAAAGATATTTCCTCTGAGAAGGACAGAAATCTAAACCACATCTCAACCGTCACAACCCCGACTTATTTTATTACGCAATATTTAGAAGTATATCTATTCTAACATTCATTTATTCCATTTATTCAAATGACCCGTGTAATAATATTCATACGTTATTTATAATTCTGTCACATCAAGCTAGGTCGGCCATTAATTATCAGACTCACTCATGGTTAGTTTTACTTTATGATTCTGATATGGAACAAACGTTTTATGTATGCGTCTGACTCACAAACGTTTTATGTATGCGTCTGACTCACAAACGTTTTATGTATGCGTCTGACTCACAATTCTGAAATTATAAGTGGTACATGAATAAAACAATTAATAAAGAACATGGCCGCGACTAATTCACCCTCGTCTCATCTGGCAAGGGGTACTCTACATATAATGAAGACACAGGCACTTGAAGGGACTGCTTGACTATATATACTATAATATATAGTCAAGCAGTAGTAAGAAGTTTTATTTTAATCCCTTCAAGTGCCTGTGAATGAAGACAGCTTCTCGGATCACCTTAAAGCATACTTCAAAGCTCGACCCTCGTTTAAAAAATGCGTTCTTGACTTTATCGTTCAATATCACGTTGGGTGATTCTTTCATTAAATCGATCAAATTTGTTATTTTTGTGTCGAAATTAGTCGTGTTTTCACCCTTAATTGACAATTTTGCTATTTTATTGTGGCCTTTGAACGGAAGCTTCGAGAAAGATTTTAAGATTTTATTTTAGTAACTGTCATCATTCTATCTACAGGAATGGGATGATTCCAAATACTGTCATAATTATCTAACTTTTGCTAGGCCGACCAAAGCCTGTAAATCGCAATTTGTAGAAAATAATATGGTTTAAAAGCTGTCTTTCTATCCGGTACATTTCTCTATAACATTATTATTACGTCGGAGTTTTATCAACCAAACATTTGTATAATAAGGTTATTTAGTCGCTGTGAAGATGGGTTTAAACAAAAACAGAGATTATACATAGAGCTGTGTGGATTTAATTATCAACTAACGTCTAATACATGTAAAATACACGCGATGAGCAGGAAATTTCAATCCACAGTTTTTAATAAATATAAAAAGTGGACTGGAAGCGTGCCAAATAGACACTTGAGAAATTACACATACTTTCTGTACTGCTAAGACGTGGGATGGAAGCGGGTTTAATGGCCCCTCAACACACTTTCACTTTCAGACTAACTTACTTGTTCGGATAGGACGAAAACCGTGGCCCAGTGTACATGTTAGCATGCACGTAAAAGATCCCTTGCCATATGGAATTGGAACTATTACTATTTTGTGTTGTTTACGCTGCAACATGTTAGTATACTATCAGGCCTTAAGGCCATCATCAAACATTCTGTATATCGTATAGAAAATATCATTTTCTTTCATAATTTTATTAATTAATAACACAATATGAATAGTTCCGACTATATACATGTAATTAAAGTTTTTGTGAAGGGAGAGGGATGTTTTCCAATCCTATATTCTTATTGAATAAAATATAGTTTTATAATAAAGTAAATCGTAGCACCGCTAGCCCAGTGATGTTGACACTAAGTGTACTGTTTACTGGGGTTTAACGTCTGATTCTAAGGTAGTGATATTTCAGACGTTGTTTATATCATCAAATTGGACAACTCTGAAATCGTGACGATTTACTTCCAACAAATAGACCGTGTAAACACAGCTTAAGAATAGACATAAGAAAATTGTTTGTAAAAGAGTTCAGAACGTCCTCCACTAGAGTCACAAAAGGAAACTCAACCAATTGGTCTCCTTTTTTGAGACAGAGAAATATTTTTTCATTTCAATTCTAGGGGACCCTTCACGTGCATATTAACAAAAACTAAACACATTTCTCTGGAACACCTCACAGGCTGGAATAGGGTTTGAAATAAAATACACGAGGATTGCAGCCTGTTGTCTGTGCCGTGTCCTAATTACACGACCATTACACGATCATAACATTTAATTAAATGAAATCTGTGCACACTTAACAATTTATTTATATTATTACGCAGTATTGCAATAATTTCAAATTGTTATTTTTTTACCCACCTAGCGAGGAGTATTATAGTAGGGTCTATAATGCCAGAGTTCGTAGAGTATTATAAAGTATTTTGTACTCACATTCAAAGGCATGAGAAGAGTGCTCACTTTCATCAACCGCTATAGCAACCATACGCTTCGTCCCAGTAGCCATTTCCTTGCTTTCTAACGGAGAAAATGCGGAAATGCTCAAAGGCAGACGATAAACTCCAGCACGCGCATATCGATTTACCCGCCTTGTGTAATAGACTTTATATAATGCTTAAAGGGAATCAACAGTTTTATTTCATCGGGTGTCAGTCAAGAAGATCGTTCACTCTATAGGTCAGTCCGAGATTGGCATGACATTGTGGCATATGTTTATTTGAATAACTATAAAGCGCACATTAGCAGATCATCACCTTTATCAGATGTATATGAAATATTTTACAATTAAACAATGGCGGGTTTGGAAGGGATGGGCATGTAACCATTTCACCGTTTTCCTTTAAAACCACCAATAATAGAGGGTTGTGACAGTCCCTCTTTAAAACCACCAATAATAGAGGGTTGTGACAGTGCCCCTTTAAAACCACCAAAACAGGTGCGTGGCAGTTTCCCTTTAAAACAAACAATGTCTTCCCACAGTCGTTCGGATGGGACAACAAACGGTGTACATGTAACAGAACCATTTGTCATTCGATATAAGAGTAGGCCATAGTGCCACTGCCTGGGCAAAATTATCCCCATAAAACACTGTATGGCGTATGGCGCATCGTCGTCTTCATTAGCCCAGTCTTTGCAGAAAACCTCCTTTCATCTGATTTCCACATTCACCAGTAATACTAGACGTGTGGTTGCATCCCTTTAAGACGATTACAAGTGAATACAGATAACAGACATCGAATAATGTAATTACATGGGGTTATATTGTATTCCTCTAAATAATCGTAGTTTCAATTGATATGGAAATGGTATTCCGATAAGATCTTTACGGCATTACAGACCGACATTAGACAGGGTTTTATTTCTTCTAGATTAATGGGTCATTATTTTAGATAGAATGAAATGGGTGATTTGAGTCTACTCATTGTCGAATTCCACTGCTAAGTGTTCTTTTACGTGCATATCAATGGTCAAGTGTCATTTTGCCAGTAAAGTGGTGATTCCTTGTACTTTTCTGTAAAGTATTCTGTTGCATCATTCCAATGTATACACGGGTGAAGCGCGGGTTTTTTCATACAATTCGAACGACTAGACACCCCAACCCCGACGACACCATTCGTTGATGGCGGCTTCTCGGGAAGAATAAAACTTAAATCTTAGAACAATAGAAACACACTAGAACTACAATTCTTTATGATTTAATTTGTATACAGATTGGGAACAACATCTCACCTAGAACTACAGTACAACATCTCACCTAGAACATCTCACCTAGAACTACAGTACAACATCTCACCTAGAACTACAGTACAACATCTCACCTAGAACTACAGTTGAATGCAGATTGGGAACAAACATCTCACCTAGAACTACAGTTGAATGGGACTTCAGGGTTAAGGGATGAAATGGTATCTAAGATCATATCCTAGATACTTCATCTATTATGTTTCAGTGAAACCTAAAATTCTGTGCGAAATTTACTCGAGACACAAAAGTTTCATACGTAGATTAGGAGGGGAGCGAAGACGCGCGCGGAATGTTGGGACACTGATGGAGATTATACATTCGTATTTATATCATGCTCATGAATGAAATGGTATTTAATGGCACGTCAGTACCCACTGGACTATGACATGTTGACCAATGAATGTTTGAATGAAACAAATTATACATTGTTTCTACGTCATTCGATCAAACTGTTTATTTTCATGTGGAGGGAAATGTGAAATAAAGAATTGAGGTTTGAAATTTGAAGTGATCGTGTTACACCTGTTAAAACACACCTTAAAATGATTTTATCTTATCTGAGTTGTGACTATAATAAAGGTAAACACATTATCTTTACCTTACTACTGTGTGTTACATCTAATACCATGATGTATCTTGTTCTTCTTACAATCATCCTACTTACTACTGGTAACCAACATTTTTATTACAATTTGCCTGCATAGACTGTATACAGTTGTTAAATATGTTATAAGTTTTGTGTCATTTCATTGCTGTTGTCCGATCATCATTCTGCTTCAGTCTGTACCTGAACATGACTCTATTCATATCTAACTGTATTTATATTTCAGTGAATGGAGCCGTTATTGGAAATAATCTCCTGAGCTCCGTGAGTGTTGATGATTCTATTGGTCGGAATTAAGCATAAGGCACAGTTACATTAGGGGTCTCTGTACCATTTATTTGATTGGGTTGGGCGGCTGTTTTTACTTTGTGTGCCGACCTAATGCCCTGTTTATTAACCCACCTTTGTGGGAACTTCTGGTATAAGTTCTCAACAAGGGCACATCAAGTTTTATACAATAACTAAATTAACCATACAATAACTACATTAACCATACAATAACCATACAATAACTCTCTCTTTTAGTTTCTAATTACCTCCCCTTATCGTGTAGTTCGACTACAGATTCCACTGAATTTATAAAAATTTGAACCCAGTCCAACTTGTTATTTAAAGCTATAGGTACCCACAGAACAACTTAATGCGAAAGTAAAAGTAAAAATCGCACAATGGGAACGGTAAGGTGTGCGCTTTAAGTTATCAACAATACCTTTAATTTATCAACAAAACCTTTAAATTATCAACAATACCTTTAATTATCAACAATACCTTTAATTTGCTTAAAGTCTGTAATCATGAATTTCTGTTGTAGACTGTGTGTTTAATATTAGATCTTGGTGTAATGATAAACTGCCCTATTGTGGACTGTGCCTTTAATATGATGTGTTTAGGCTCTGATGTAATGACCCATGTAACTTATATTTATAGTTAAGAATCTGTCCTATTGTGGATTGTGCCTTTAATGTGATGTGTCTAGATTCTGGTGTTATGACACATACAAGTTATTTTAACATTAATGGTATGAAATGTGCCGGTTGTCCAACCTGTAGCAGACTACCTATTGATGTGATTGCCAAAAGAGCGTCAATTCTTACTACTGATTCACCTATAAAACTCGACCCAGTTGTAAGTACAATACTACAGATGTAATTCTACGTGTCTAAGGATAATAAATTAATACAACAGAAGCAGGTTCTATTTAACTAAAAGCTTTGAATGTCTGTATTTACAACACAATAGGGGCGAATTCTAACATAATTTGTACATCCTTTACAAAACTGACACTTCTGGGGCTAGATTCTCTTGGAAGTTATAACACCATTCTTATTCAAGTTGAGTTTACATTCGTTACAATTGATTGCATGCCACCATCTTTAATTGTATAAGTTTGTTAAAATATAAATGATTCTGGAATCTTTTAATACAATCAATCCCATTCATTATTCAATGTTTTAAAATGTAAAAACATTATGGAAATTAATATTGCATATAATATTTACATTCGATCATGGGGTTGAACGTGATATCGCAGACAAGACATGATGGTTTTTTTTTAAGATACTTATGTAGCATTTCCCTTGATTTTCGTTATGACAATAACGTCTCTCTTGTCATTCATGACGTCAACTGTCACATTATCGCCATTCAGACGACGACCACAGTCAAGACCAGCTGTATTACGTCTCTCTTGTAAATTATTATTTGTTTTTGTTTTGAGTGAAGGCTATATTATTACAGGCCCAGGACTATACAGTGCAATGAACACTATTCACTTGATTTGTTATTTGTTGTTTGTTTGCTTCTTATGTAATGTTTGTCTCTTTTGTCTGCAGGTTTATCTTGTAGATTTTGTTTTGTGTGTAGTGTGGTCCTCCTTTATTTACTATTAGCTAAATACTTTTGATCCTTCAGAAAATAATCCATCTCAACATGTGTCCAATGACCATGTGTGCTTATCCCGGCTCATGCAAACCATCTGAATACATCCAGAATTATTTTGATTGGAATGGTAAAAGATGTCCTGGATGTGTCAGCTGTCCATCAAATCTGGTAGTGAATCCAGTGTAGAAGATGTACTAATGTTGGAAAATAAAATATTCCAATAAGCTTGATATTTTTGTTCATAAAAATACGTTTTAAAAGACAGATTATGGAGTTGGTTTTCGGTGGGGTAGGGTGCAGTTTTTATGAACACCAGCGTCAACCAGACTACCTTGATTCATTTGACTCCGTGTTCTTAAATTATACTGTAGTTCCTATAGCCCTCCGTCATTACGATGGTCTAAAGGTAGTCCACTTCTTCAGAAACACTAGATCATTCACTGATTTATAATGGAGTTGTGACCAGGTTTTCATGACGAAACCACTAGTTTAGATTTCTACAAATCCAACATGCCTTTTAGGTGTGCCCGAATTATAGCTCTCTGTCTGTTAGGTGTGCCCGGATTAAAGCTCTGTCTGTTAGGTGTGCCCGGATTAAAGCTCTGCCTGTTAGGTGTGCTCGGATTAAAGCTCTGCTGTACATATAAGGCCATCAGAGTATGGTGCACGCTATGAACTCTTCTCTCAAGACACTGGACTATATTTTAATATGGTTATACATTGTGTTCGATCTATAACTCACCACACACTTACGATTATTTGTGGGCCTCAAGGCAAGCACTGCCAGTTTCCAAAAACGAAATGGAAGAGGAACGTCTGTGCTACACAACTAAACATTTGTGAAAAGAAAGTTAGAAGTGAGTCTAGGATTAAAAGCCAAATCTGATGGATATATAGGAAATATCTATCGGCCTCAATTCCACGTCTTGTCAACGTAATACGTCAGTTATTTTGAGACAAAGGCGTGGTCTGCATTGCTAGGAAGGGGAATTTTGTCAGGGCAATAGTGTTCTTTAACATCCACTCGACACTCGGCAAACCTCGGCAGATTCCGTTTTTCTACACTGCCTCGTTGTATGACGGTAAGTGATATGTACCTACGCCTATACAATTGCGATGCGGCACCGGTTTACTTATTAGGAAAACTTGCCGCTTTTAAAAAGAAGTTATCAAAATTGCGTCGTTCGAAGCGTGTGTAGAATTTTCAGTGCACTTGAAAGAAAAACAGTTTCAGACTTTGAAATATTTGTATGATAAAACATTCTTCAAAGGCGTCGTCATGGGCAACGCCGTTGGTAATCCGGGAACGTGAAAGTAGATCCAATGGCGGACTTCGTAATACAGCCAACGTTTGATGAAGGGTACTGGAATCTGCACTCGAATGTGTATAGAGTGGTCTTAAGTCCCACCCAAACGAATGGAACCCTGTCCTTGTCACCACCTCTGATAAGTGGAAGCCGGTTTTTAAAGAAAGCGGCCCCTAGGAGAGACGGGTGTCCATAGTGATGTTGTTTGTTGCTAGCGATATGGAAATGTCTGTAGTTCAGTATATGACACGTCATGTATGATATACTAACAGATGTGGCTTATCTCTGTCGTCCTATATTTATATATAAAAACATATCTACAATAATTCAAGATTATATGATCATCACAGCTCTCTGTCTAGTTACAGGTAAAATTTACACCTTTATTCCAGATAAACAATGTAAAATCATTCTATAAAAACACGTCATTGTACGGCTCTTTTCCATTTGATCATAGATCCGGAAAGCGCTGAGGTGGTTGGAATAATGGTTCTATCGTATCATAGACCTTTCTGATGAACCAGTGACCAGGATGCTCTGCCCCATAGAACCCTCATTATATACGTAGGCGTACGAGCCAGGGGGGGGGGGGGGGGCAGCTGCACCCTAACTTTCGCGTAATCTGACTTTTCGGGCAGACGGATAAAGTGGAAAAAAATTGATTTCATCTACTTGGCAAAATAAAGTGCCCGAAATCTAATAAAATACTAATTTTATTTTTCTTTTAATTGAATACGACGAATTTGTACTGAATTTGTGAATGCAGTTGCAACAGTCTGTTTGGATGGTAGGATTTCAGGTCGGTAGAGAGTGGCATTTCGGTTACAAAACAACTGGACAACTTTGAGGTTGCTTAACTCATGGGCTAGAATAGCAGAAAACCACATTTGTGGCGGCTAAATTTTCAAAATTTTCTCCGGGAGTACGAAGCCCCGATGCCCCGCGACTATTAGTTGTTTTGGATTCATGTCAGCCAGGTAGGCAATATTGGACCACATTGCTGTTGATGTATTCACGTTCATGGGCTGGAATAGCCGGAAAACGCCTTTGCGGCAGTTAAATTTTAAAAAATTTCTTCTCACTATCCCATCTTCGCTGACTGTAAACGATTGATTGGAATTCGAGTCAGCCACCTTACTTAGGCTATATCAGACCACTTTGCAGTTGCTTTGTTCACGGGTTGGAATACCAGGAAAACACGTTTGCGGCTGTCAATTATTCCAAAATTTTCTTGGAAGTCCATACACGGTAAGCTCCGCTCCTTCGCCTCTTACAGAAGACTGGCGCCGCTGTCTGTAAATCCGAAATTTTTTCGGGCATTTCGAGTTCTGTTCCCCGTTTCTGTCATCTAGCCCGTATGCCCTGTTTCCCCTTTCTGTCATCTAGCCCGTACGCCTATGATTATAAAGTTTGATGTGAATATTTCAGTAAATAGTCTTGCCATTGGAAAAGATATTCTACACACGGTATGTAAATATTTCTAAACCGACTTTATTCAAATTCTCATTCAGAGTATACTCAATGTCGAATCTCTGGGAACCTATAGTTCTGTCATGCCCTTTTTGTATTACCGAACGATTTATCCTAGCATTTACAACTATCCTAGTATTTACACACAAAACTACCCTAGTATTAACAAAACTATCCCAGTAATACAAATGATCGCTCCCTATCCGCGATGAATATACTTATTATCTGTTTTAAGGAAAAACACTGAACTAGAACACATAAATTTGAATAGTTTAGTCTCTGTTTTAATTGGTTGAGAACATGGGTTGAAAATGTTTGTTATTTTATTTTATAGTTGAGAATTTGTCCGATTATCGACTGTATACAGATGCAATGTCTTGAAACTGGTTTATCTATAAAACAAACTCATTTTGAATTCAATGGTATGAAATGTCCTGGTTGTCCAACTTGTTCCACCAGAACTTTAACAGATATAAAAAGAGATGTCGCTCTACCTATTAAAAATCCTTTCTCTGTAAGTTTTTTGATACCGACGGAGTAAAAACAATTATTTGCCCCTGAATCTGATTATGTCTATTATATGACTGTCAATAATAACTAGACAAGCCCCTGGCTTCCACCATGTTTATAATAACAATTACTAGTATTGAAATAAACTACATAAGTTTCTACTTTTGCATCAAAATGAAACTAAACATGCTGTTGCTGTATGTCCTCCATCTTCTGAACGCTGATATTTTTCTCTGGAAGTTTTCTATTCTCATTCAGTATTTTGAATATTTTCAGGAATGGCCGATGATTTGTCCAATTCCAATTTGTAGATCGCCAGGTTACTGTAGTCCATGGGAACTTATCCAGAATTATTTTAACATAGACGGTGTACAATGTCCTGCCTGCACTTATTGCCCCTCAGACCTTAAGGCCAATCCCGTTTAGATGACAAAATAAAATAAAATGTTAAACATTTATTGTTCTGTATTTTTATGAAGAAATACATGGTCCAGCTTCTTGTATCTGGAGGTGTGGTGGCTCAGTGAGTAAGATGCTGGCTTTCAGTGTTGGTCGAAAGATCCTCGGGATTTTCTGAGGTGGTTTCCCGTTGCCAGTGGTGCAGAACGGGGGGGGGGGGGCTGTAAAGATAAAATGGCTAGTCGTTCGGATATAACGATAAACGAACCCTTAACACAAAGTGGCGATATCAGGGCAAAATTTCCCCCATTAGCCAAATCGGTGCAGAGTAGTGGGACATTAAATCTCATTTCCTTTTGTTTATAAATATCACATTTATCGTAGAGGTGCAGGCAAAGGAAACCTTATGTTTTACACGTACATTACTCGAATATTTCATTTTTATTACCTGGAAATGGTCAGAAATATGTCATTGAGCCACCTTGTGATATTACCTGTCCATAGCCGGATATATGTCATTGAGCCACCTAGTGATATTACCTGTCCATAGCTGGATATATGTCACCTTGTTTCATTTCAAAACAAATCTTATTATCAACATATTAAACTCTCTAAACCTTTCAATAGTGCCTTCAACAAACAAAGGTAAGTACAATTGTGGCTAGGATGACGTGTTTGGAAAGGTAAGTATGACTGTGGCTAGGATGACGTGTTTGGAAAGGTAAGTATGACTGTGGCTAGGATGACGTGTTTGGAAAGGTAAGTAGGATTGTGGCTAGGACGACGTGTTTGGAAAGGTAAGTATGACTGTGGCCAGGATGACGTGTTTGGAAAGGTAAGTATATGACTGTGGCTAGGATGACGTGTTTGGAAAGGTAAGTAGGATTGTGACTAATTACAAAGGTGTCTCTGGTTGGTCAGCATTAACTAAGCATTGTTTTTTTACATGTATCTTGTCATATATTTTATCATTACTTGATAATTGATTGAGACGCCTATAGTTGAAACGTCGCCCAGTAACAAGCATTAATTGTTGTGACCTGTATAATTACTAAATACCACTGAAATAACTTGTTGTCTATAGTTGTTCGCCGATGGTTATCTCGCCGAAAACCAAGTTTACATAAAGTTGACATAAAGTTCATGTCATATTATGATTGTTATTGATTTTATTATTGATTTTTATCAACCTTAGAGAAGTGACTATGTAAACGATATAATCCGAAATGGGAGTCAATGGGACAGAATTGTGAGAGTGAATAGTAGTGCTACTACTAACAGGGCGGTTCACTATAACCGTGAATATGATAGTGCTGAGGTATCATAAGACCACAGATCAGGAGTGGGAGAATGATGATATAACGGAATCGAGAAACAATTCAGATAATATTAATTTGAGACTGGGTCTGAGGGGACTTTATCTCATGGCATGGGGGTCTGAATTCACGCCTAGTAATACTTTTCCTTTGACTGGTCAGGGGCCACCTCACACCGGCGGAAGTAGGTCAATAGTTTTGTTCATTAACGTATATATTATATGAA